TCTCTATCTCCCTCCCTTCCCTCTCTAAACATAAATAAATAAAATCTAAAAATAAAAGAGAACACTGAAGAGGAAAAGTTCTGTTAGGGGGACCAGCTCTGGTGTTTATATACACAACATCCCCTGACATTACAATACAGGACAAAGTCTCTTTGCAACAGATGAATAAGCAGATCAGTGGAACAGAAGTTCCAGAAACAGCCAAATGACACAGGAAAACATGGTGTATGATCATGGTTGTATCTCAAGTTACTGAGGCAGTGGTAATCTTTTAAATAAACCCAACTAATGAAACAGAAATGGAGCTCTACACGTAGGGATTTAAATGGATTCGCCTAATTGGGTGTATGACAACGGGACACCCACTCAGAAGAAAGATTAGATTAGACCCATTCCTCACACCATATACAAAAATAAGTTCCAAATGTACCAGAGATCTAAATATTTTTTAAGTATAGAAAAAAGCATGGGGCATGATAACCTGGGTGCAGGAGAAAACTTCTAAAAATATGACTAGGGTCCAGATGTAATGAAACAAAAGACTGGTAAATTTTACTACATAAAAAAAAAGTTTGTGTGTGGGGAAAAAACTACCATAAGCAAGCTCAAAAGACAAATGACAAACAGAAAGGAAATACTCATAACATATATCAAAGATACAGGACCAATATTCCTAATTCACAACGAACTTTTTAAAATTTCAGGGGGACATGCTCAGACATTCTACAGAAAACATGCCCTGCCCTCTGCTCTCTTCTGGGACGAGTCAGGGTGGTAAGCGCCTCCGGAGAAGAGGGTGTTGAGGGACGTAGGGTCTCTGCTCAGCCCTGAGCTGCAAAATGTCCCGCTTGTACCGGGCGCGAGGTGGGTCAGCTCTGTCGCCCCCTCCTCACCCTCCCACTGCCGGAGCCCCTCACCATCCTCCTCGAGGAAGAGCGCCAGGAAGCCGGGTTGCCCGGTTCCTAGCAGACTTCAGGCTACCGCCCTCCGGATCTCTTCTGAGGCTCTGGGGCTCTTCGGGCTCTGAAAGTACTCCTGCAACTTGGTGTGCAAGCTCGACCCGGCAGCGGGCGGGCTGGGAGGACGGTGCGGGCTTTGGGTCCCGGGACTGTCAGTCACATCAGCAGCGGGGAGCCGGGGGCAGAGGTCCTCAGCTCCATCCACCCCCGCTGCGGGCCTGCCCCACCCAGCAGGCTGGGAAAAGCCTAGAGCTTTCCCTTTCGTTTTTATGAAAACAGCTTCTGCCTTAGGTTGCAATCTTGATTTGGCAAACAACAGCTGCCTCGGGTTTGTGTCACCCTTTTGGGACAGAGGCTGCCGTCAGACAACTTCTAGGTCTAAGTCCTGGACTTTATAGTTTATCAGTCGAGTAACGTCAGTCAATGGCATCTGTACAATGGGTGTAGCCACAACAACTCCATATTATTGTAAGGATTAAAGAGATAAAGTCTGTAGAGTGTGTAGCATTTTTGTTTTTAAATCATTATTCTCAGAGATCTAGCCCCTGGGTAAGGCCTGCCCTTGGGATCCTGAATTGCTGGGGGGGGGGTGGGGGGGGGTGGCACACAGGAGTAGCAGGAGGTCCTGTCCACAGGGGACTGGCTGGTTCTGCCCCACTGGAGACCTACGGCTCCTGCGCTTCTGTGCAGGCCAGTGCCAGAGCCACCACTCAGCACTGCAGGCAGCCCTGCTGTCCGGCACCTGGGCCAAGCAGCCCCCATGCTTCTTCACGCCCCATGGCAAGTGGGTGCTGGTGGCTGCTCACACCCTGATGTCTGTTGGGGACACCCTGGGCTGGCTGACAGCCTCCAGCCCTCACCAACACAGATCAGGGCTGCAGGTGCAGCACTGGGCCAGGCACTGTGAGCTACTGTGCTCGCCGTCAAGGGGGCTGCCCTGGGCTACCCCTCCCGGACTTCAGCCCCAGAGATGGTGCAGTGTGTGACACAGCAGGCAGGGTAGGCCCTGAAACTTGCCCCTCTGCTCACCAGCCTGGCCCCCTGAGGACCTCTTGGACCTTTTCTGCCCTCCTCTGCCCTCCCCCTGCTTGCCAAAGTCCCCTTCCAGGCCTTGGGCAGCTGGAGGGCTCTGTTCTAGGGACTAGGAGAGGTGGCAGTGTCTTCCCTCATTCCTGGACCTTCCAGTCATCTCAGTCTCTCACAGAGGCATCTCTTCCCTCTTCCACAGCTCTTTGTATGAACCATTTTGTATACATTATTTTTATTAATATTATTTCCTGCTTTGTCAGGGACAGGTGCCAGGGGGAGGAACTGAGCTCTTCCTCCTCTCTCAGCCTGGGGTGGAGGTACTTTGCCACTCACTGCCCTGCCATCTTCCTCTGGGAGAATCGTGGAATCACTGAAGGCACATCTTCAGAGGAGTGATGAGATCAGAGCTACTTTTTTCAAAAGATAGTTTGCAGTGGGAGGAGGAAGAGAGTTGGGGACAGAGAGAGTTTTTAGTGGGTATTTTAATCATTTTGGTGACAGAACTCTGAACATGTCAACTGGGTAGTGAGATTTAAAGTGAAGGAGAGGCAGGACTGGTGGTGATGGACAGACATGCAGGACACGAGGGAAAAGCCAAAGGTGCCACTAAGATGACACTTGAATGTACTGTAATTGTAATACATTCTACATTGTCTGTTGTTTTCCCAGGAAATAAAACTAAGTTCCCTGCTCTTTAAAATAAAGCATTTCAACAATATGATTTCTGCAGTCTTTTTCAACTCCTATGCCAAGCAAATAAAGCTGTGGAGAAAACCTGCTGTGTCTTTTCACAGCTCTTTGTGAAGTAGTAGCCGGGGTGGTAACCCATGGCATTGTACCCTGTCGCATTTTAGCTGACCTCACTTCTCGTTTTGTTTGTCCCTACCTGCACTGACCTGGGCTTGCACTTCCCAAACAAGGTGTTAACTTCCGGATTTTTTTTCTAAGGCTCTGTGTTTAAAGGACTCAGATCTCTTATCAATAGAAAAGAAAATAGTGCTGAACCCCCATATGGAAATCAAAGCAAACCCAGTACTACACCATAAGATCAATGTAAAGAAGTACCACTAAGGTTTGATTTTTCTCCTAATGACTGCTTTGATGCTATCTGTGATGTTGGGATTTATAAAAAAAATACATTTGGTCTTTGTCCCAGTTTGTGTGGCACAGATCTCCTAAGACCCTTGGAATTTCCTGAAGGCCGAGAGCATAAAGCTGTGTTTTTATGTTAATGAGGTGACTCATATTAAGGAGGTGACTACAGATGGGGCCTGGTTGCCAGAGGAAGCAACTATGTTGTGATTAGAGGGTTGACACTTTCAGCCCCACTATCTGACCTATGGGGAGGAGGGAGGAGCTGGAAATTAAGTTAAATCACCAATGGCCAATAATTTACTCAACAATGCCTGTGTATCGAAGTCTCCATCAAACCACAAAAGGACGGGGTTCAGAGAGCTTCTACATTGGTGACAAGTGAAGGTGCTGGCAGAGTGGCACTCTCCATGCCCTTTCCCTGAGCATCTCTTTCATCTGGTTGGTTATTCCTGAGTTATATCTTTGTTTTTATCCTCACCCGAGGACACGCTTATTGATTTTTAGAGAGAGGGGAAGGGCGGGAAAGAGAGGAGAGAAACATCTATTGAAAGGATAAAGCATGTGCTGTTTGCTCTGGTGTCTCCATTTGCCAAGCAGGCCTATGACCTTGATAAACATGACTGCTATTTTCCTCTTTTGAGTTTATGGCCCCAGGACTGGAAATTATTGGAAAGCAACAACAAAGCGTGACTAACCTCCCCCACAGAGGAAGGCAAAAGTTAACATTGGAGCAAACTGCAGCTTTTGCAAAACCAACTGAAACCTCCTGTGTTAAAACACCCCCAACAGCCCAGGGGCCACACAACAGCAACCCCCCCCCCACCCTTTTATAATCCAGTTGTGATCCAATAAAAGCTCAAAGCCCCCACCTTTTGAAGCTAACACATCTCTCCACACTATGCCCCTTTCCAGTCTTGGAAAGTCAATAAAAAGCTTTGCGTTCTGCATTTTCTTCTCTTTGTGAATTCTTTCATAGCCCACCTCATTGACCACCCTTAACATCTATGCATGAGAGAAACATAAGACTAGTTGCCTTCCATATGTGCTCTGACTGGGGCCAAACCCACAACCCAGGCACATGCCCTGACCGGGAATCAAACCCACGACTTTTTGGCATACAGGACGACATTCCAACCGAGACACACACCCCAGGGCCCCAAGTCATGTCCTTTTGTAATACTCAGATAATCTAGTGAGTAAATTGGTTCCCTGAATTCTGGGTGTTGCTCTAGGAAATTACAAGGAGAGTATCATGGGAACCTAAGATCTATAGCTATTCCCCAGAGGCCCAGGTAACAACCAGGGTTTATTATTGCCATCTGAAGTACAGGGCAGTCTTATGGGACAGAGCCCTTAACCTGGGGAATCTGATATTTTCTCCTGGTAGATAGTGTCAGAATTGAGTTGAACTGTGGGACATTTTGCTGGTGTCAGAAAATTGCTTGGATGTGTGTGTGTGTGTGGGGGGGGGAACCCACACATTGGATCTGGGTGCAGAAGCTTACTATCTTTAGGAAAACATCAAATACCTCAATATTATTTTCAATTATCTTTTTCTTTGGAGAGAAGGGTGCCCTGATTTGCTGGTGCCCAGTGAGCCACCTGGGTATTCTAGCACCAACATTGGAAAAGGTGAAACAAATTCTAGGGGCAAGAAGGGGGCAGGTATAGTTTGATAAGGTGTTGTAGATGCTTTCTCTAGAAGGAGAGAAGAGTCAAAACCTGCAATGTGCTCTTACCTTTGTAGTACTCTATGGGTTAAGGAAAAATAATACTAAATGTGATTTTCACAGCTGAAAGTGGCAATAGTGAAGTCAAAAGTGATTTTGTTGTACACTCTGTATGTTGTGGGAAACCACCAGAATCTCAACCTAAGGGAAAAGAAAAAAGGAGTGGGGAAAGAACACAGACAATCTGTTCCTAATGTGGAAGTAACTTTATTGAAAGCAGATACACGTGATACCTTCCGCAGAGCAAAAGCAGCAATCCACAGGCTCATGGACTGCTCACACCGCTGAACTGCCTGTGCACACACGGCATTGTAATCAAGGATCTGGACCTTGGCAGGAACCAAACTTGAGTTCATTTGAAGCAAATTTAGCTAAAGCTTAGAACTAATCATAATGGTAAAGACTTTAAAGAATCACCAAAATTCAAATGTATCATCTGATTAAAAAAAAAAAAAAAGGCCTATCATTTAGTTTAAGCTTCCTCAACTCTCCAGACAAAGGAAAAGATTCTGGGTTTTTAAGTTCTTCAAATAAGACTTCTTCGGAGGAAATTTGCTGAGAGAAGCCCAGGATAATGGGAACTCCTCAGCAAGCTTTGTGGAGGAGAAGCTCTGGGGTACAGAAGCCTTGAAGCCCGGCTATCTCTGTTAAATCCTAGCACTTCTGCTTGTTAACTATGTGACCTTTACCAAGGTGTCCTCTCCGTGCATCAGCTTTCTCAGTTATAAAATGGAGATACTAGTAGTATCAACCACATGAATGTACAGATCTTATAAAGGGGACAAAATAAGTCTACAGTAAATATTAGCTATTGCCCTCTGATCAAATACGTGTGTGTGTATGCATATGTTTAAGAAAAGAAAAAGACACCTCATTCATCATTTTTGGAGGGAGATTGCAATGTGGATAACCAGATAAGAAACTCAGTTTTCCAAATCAGTGGTGAGGACTCCAGAAATGGCTTCCTTACTCCTGTCTCTGACAAAGATTTAGGGAGCATATATTCCTCTACTGTGGTATTAGCCACCTAAGTCTGGTAGCAAAAATGTATTAAAAATTGGAATTTTTTTTCCAAAAAAAATGGAATATAGTACCAACTGTATACTAGGCTCTGTGTCATGAAAAATAATAGCTTTATGCTTTTTATTACCAAAGGTTGCCCAATCTCTGCTCCTGGTCACTTTTCTGGCTGTGAAGGAGGGGAACATGTGTCTTAATTTTTTCATAACCAAAGCCTCCCTACTTCCCCCATTCACACTAGGATTTTACTTTCACAGTACTTAAAGGGCAAATCAACCAACAAAAAACTAAAGGACCACCCCAGAGATGGCAATAAAAAGAGAATCGAGTGGCAGCTAGTGTTTTGACTGCAGAGCACAGAAGATGACTTTAGGTCCACTACACGCCATCCCCGCCTCCCTGCAACAATGAGCCAAGAATGAGGCGTAACAGCCCTGCAGCAAAAGTCACACAGATATTGGGGATTTTGTCTTCAATAAAAAGTAGCACTCCAAAAACTACAGGTAACAGATTCTTACTCTTCCATGAACCCTTGAGACGAACATTTGTAAAAGGTCTCTCTACATAAGGATATTTACTCTGCTCCTTCAACCATGTCTTTCGAAAGCATGGCTCAAGACATCCTTCCAGCAGTCTTCTTACTCAATTCCTTTATTTTTCAGCTCCTGTTTGACGCGTTTCAGGTAATAAGGATCAGGGTAGCCATATCTGCAGAAGGAAAAGCCCCTTAGCGTCATCGCACATGGTTTTAAAGAATGTGTAGAGTAGGTTGCTGGCATTAATATTGTGTTGCAAACATTAACAAGCACTCCTGAAGGTGAATGACTTATAACCACTTGTTAGTGTGTGGATGTGAGTCCTAGTCAGTGGGCCTAGCTGTCTGCCCAGCATCTGCCTTCCAACAAGACATTCTGTGTTTTCAGCTCGTGGTAAGCAGTGACTCTCATAAAGTTATACCATACTATGTTAAAATAAGTGGTTTATATATAAAAATATAACATGTTATATATAAAAATATAGTATAGTATATATTTTTATATTTTATATATAAAAATGTAGTGTGTGCTACAGGAGGATTTTCAAGTTTGGAAAATTTGCAAAAGTCTCAGGACCCTTTTGAGTACTATAGGTTGAGGTATTGTATCTGAATTTCACTGAGAACAATTGGATTGCCTATAAAACAACTTTCACAACATTAAATAAGAGTTTTTCTAGAGTACTATTAGCCAAGTGATTTTAGGATCTCTATGGAGCGATGGAAGGAATGGGTAGAAGAAAGTATAATCTTAAAAGGAGGCAAAGTAAATAATGTTCCTAGGACCTACCCTTCAAATAAACAGGAAGCCTCAAATTAAGTCACCTGAGATGTCACTCATCTCGGATTTTGAAGCCTCCTGCCTTTTGATGCAGAATTTAGTAACTGTATGATACTTTGTGGCTGGGAGAGTAGGTGATGGAAACCAATCTGCCTTTGAGATTAACATCTCTCAAAATACTGTACTGTACCCAATCCCATTGCTGTAAAGAGTCCCTTAGAGCCATATTCTCAAGCTGCCATATCTTATAAGCTCGAAGTTCTGTTTAGCAATCATTTTATTTCAAAAGGCTCTCACCTTTCCGGTCCCCCAGAGATGGACGTTTTATGGTGGATATCATTCCATGTAATGGCACTTGCGAGTCCTGTAACTCGAGACTCCCCCACTGTGAAAATTAGCTTTTGTTTAAAGGCTTTCTGGAGCAGTTTCAAAACCTCCCATCCTTCCTCATTATCAGGCAAGTATGCAGTTCGCTGTGTTGAAGAATATGGCATTCCTGGGTTTGGGTGCTCTTCCTGCATGAAGACAAAGCAATGTTGCATAAACACACTCCTGAGTCTAAATTCCACCACACAGACAAATGTATTCATTTGCAGATAGAAGCCATCAAAACCAAAAAAAAAAAGTATTGATAAATTCATATTTCTCCTCTTTTCCTAAATTCATGCTGGGAATGCCATCCATCTTCCTGGCTCCCCCCACCCTAATACATGATCAATCACCACCCACCCTTTCTCTCCCTTAATAAACACAAACCATAAGTGATAGGCAAAGATTGTTACTTTTATCACTATTTAAAGCTATTGCATATGACCATGGAAATAAGTCCCTGGGAAATCCACCCATTGGTGACAGCACAGTCTCTTTGCTCAGTACACCGGAAGGAAACCCATGGATCTCAGAAACACTTACTGTTTGTATGCCTCCTTCCATACAATAATTAATCACAATGGAGCCACAGGATTCATAACCTGGAAGTGCATATTTTCGGACCTCGAAAGTCATGGTGCCCTCTGGCTGATTCCCTTTCTGGACACCGTAGAAAGTCTGGCACACAGGACAGACTGGCTTGTATGTCATGGCTTTCTTGATACAGGGGCTGCAGAATCCGTGCTTGCACTTTGGTAGTACTAGCTTGTTTCTAATGGGCTCCATACAGATGGCACATATGTCCTCTTCCTTGTCCACTCTTGATGCCTGAGAACTGGCAGAGCGCTGGGATGTTGGTGAAGCTGTTTCTGAATCATTACCATCAATGTCCATGGGTGTTTCACGATCCTCATTCCGTTTCTGTCCAGCTAACAGGGACATTCCCCCTGTTCCTAAGACATACTGCTTTGCCTTTGCAAGATGATTTGGCAACCCAATAAAGATCATTGATTCTTGATTTAGTGCAAAGAATACACCTGGATGCCTATTTCTAAAGTCACCGATGAACTTGCTCCTATATAAGTCCTTTCTCTCCTTGCCCAAAGATTTCAATGGAAGAACTTCTCTCACCAGCTGACATGAGACATGTTGATAGGCATCAGTGAAACTTGCACAAGCATGCACAGACAGATCTAACTCCTTGTCCTTAGATTCAAATACAATGCAGGTTTTCTGACTTTCTTCCCAAACCTTCCTTTGAGTGTTGTACTTTTGTTCTATCTCTGATATCTCCTGGAGTAATTCAGCTTCTAAAAGCTTGTACTGTGCCGTGTCAACCTCAATTCTGTTCCTCCTACACAGAGTCAATATTTTCACAGGAGCCTCGACAGGACTTTCAGAAATTTGGGAGGCAATAATATGTCTGGCAGCTGAAACATCATCATGGGTACCCATAAGAATTAATTCTCCTCCATTCTCCTTTATATAAAGCTTTTGAAACTGGCAGCTCAGTTTCTGTTTGATTTTATTTGCCTGCTTACTGTCAGCCAATGCAACACATACCTTCTTCATAGTTCCTATGCTCTGCTGAAACTCATGAATAAAAGACTCTTGAGCTGATCTGATGTCACTTGATTGACTTGAGGTGAAATCTAAAGAGACCATATCAGGAGAACTCTCTCGACTTTTTATTTTTATACCAAATCTTTTCTCTACTGAGTCCATTTTTCCAGGATAGGTATACTTGAAGTACTCGAAGAGAAACAAGGGAACTTCATAGCAATTGCTTTTTCCTTCTGACTTGGTTTTTGGTTCAGAGGGAGAAACACAACTGTTCTGGCCTTGCTGGAGTGGCTCCCGCTCTGTTGTCAAAGGGGATGATTCATGTTTCTGCTCACTTTTTAGGAGTTGCTCACTCAAGAAGCCATGTATTTTTTCAATATCTTGGAAGTCACCACGCACTCTCTCAATTCCATTGTAGCCCTCTATTTTTGTGACATTGGGGCAGAGAGTGGTTATGCACTCCCTCTGCTCTTTAGAGAACAGGTTACAGTTCAGTTCAGCCGTGACAGTAAGGAAGATCTGAAATTTTCAAAAGAAGAAATGAAATCTCTCAGACATGCAGGCCTACAGTCTCCTCTCAAGAGAATGTCTAAAGACTAGAGAAACAACTGCTACGTATGTCCTCCCTTAGCAGAGGATGACTTTCAAATCCTTTTTACACAGGATGTAGCATGTTATAGCCCAGAGGTTCTCAGCCCTATCTGCACATTAGGATCACTTCGGAAGTTAAAAGAAAAAAAAAAAAAGCCAAGGCCCAGGCACATCTTCAGTGAGCCTGATATAAATGTAGAGTCTGGGTATTAGAATTTATTTTATTTTATTTATTTTTAAAGATTTTATTTATTTTTAGAGAGAGGGGAAGGGAGGGAGAAAGAAAGAAAGACAAACATCAATATATGGTTGCCCTTCGCATGCCCCCTACTGGGGACCTGGCCCCCAATCCATGCACGTGCCCTGATTGGGAATGGAACCGGCGACCCTTTGATTCTCAGTCTGGCACTCAATCCACTGAGTCACACCAGCCAGGGCTGGGCATGAGAATTTTTAAAAGGCACTGTGGACTAACAGTCTGAATTTTACAGTTGCCACTATCTGTTTGGCCTTAGGGAAGACAGTGGAGAAAAGGCACTTGTCATTCTGAGAAGTTGCTATGGTTCTCACAAAAGAGTCTGTGAGCTTGGAAGGGAGTCATAAATCTGAGGATGTTTTTTCCCATACTGTTTTTTTTCTCATCTTCAATCCCCTCTGCGGCCTCCCCCTCCACTTTTTTTAACTAAACACCTAACTACATGCAATGTTACTGGACCCTCTAAGCTCTCAGCCTTTAGAAACTCAAGTATAAGACAAGCACATTAGATTAGGCTAAAAAAAGATAGGCAAATTGAATATAATATAAAAGCAATATTTCTAATGTTTTGTTACCCCTCAAGGTCTTTGCACATGCTATTTCCTCTGCATGTAATATCCTTCCTCTAGATCTTCCTTGAAAATGCTTTCTGAATCCAGCCACTCCTTACAGTGCCATCAGGACCACCCTAGAGTCCAAGCCATTACCACCTTGCACCTGGTCCACTGCAACTCCTCCTGACTGGGCTCTGACCTTCCACTCTAGCCCCTTCCCACAATCAGTTATCCACACAGTAGCCAAAGTGATCCTTTAGAGACAGAAATCAGATCACACTACTCCCCAGGCTCAAAATCATGATGAATCCCCCAACATTTAAGTGAAAAGCCAAAGTTCTGACCTTCATCCCCAAACACCTGACTTCTGAGTACCTCTCCAAGTTCTTCTCATACCACTCTGTCCCTCACTCACTGCCCTGTAGTTCCTGATGCTCAGGATGTAAGCCTGCCTCCTTGAAGTTCCTGATGCTCAGGATGTAAGCTCCGGTCTTGGGGCCTTTCCTCTTGTGCTCCCCTCTGCCTAGAACATTCTTCCCACAGAAATCCACTTAGCTAGGCTAGCTCCCTTATTTCATGCGTGTCTCTACTCAGACATTACCTCATAGGATAGGTTTTTCCGGATATACTAAAGTAGTGATCCCGTCACTGTCATTTGTCCTGCTTTATTCTTCTTCCTAGCACTTACCACTGGCAGACATTTTATTATAAATCTATTTGTTTACTATGACTGTCTATTTCCCTCATTAGAATGTGAGGTCCCTGAAGGCAGTCTGGTGTGTTCCTGGCTGTAGCCCCAGCTCCCATGACAGTGCCTGGCACACAGTAGGCAGTTGATACTGATTTGTCAAATGACTCTTCACATCGCTTGTTCCCTCTCATTCAAGTCTCAGGCCAGGGGAAGGGTCAAGTCAAGGAACATGTATATAAAGGACCCATGGACAAGGACCATGGGGTGGAAGGTAGAGGACTGAATGTGGGAGAGGGCAGGGGAGAGCGCGGGGGGAAAATAGGGACAACTGTAATTGAACAACAATTTGAAAAATTGAAAAAAAAAATCAAGTCTCAGGCCAAATGCCACCTCAGAGAGGTTGTCTCAGACTACTGGTTAGAAGTAGCACCACCTCCTTCCCCTACTCGCCCTGGCCCTGTACCTCTCTAAGGCACATATCACTCTCTGAAATTGTTTTATTTATTTTACTTGTTTATTTTCTTTCTATGTACCTCCCAACACCCAGCAGGGACCTGCTATCTTCTGTGTCCCAGTGCCTAAAATGGTGCCCGCCTCATAGTAAGTCCTCAGTTGATGGTTGCTGGACCAATAACGAAAGGTACAGAGACTGAAGAGGAGGTTGCAAGCGCATACCTGGCTCCTTCTTTCAAATACTCACATTTTGGACACAGGAATCCACAGCATTAGGAATATGTTCTTCATTTGGATGCTTCTCACCAGACCTCTCCCGTTCTTGTGATGGTGTTTGCACTTGAGACATTCCAGGTCTCATATTCTTCTCTATTGGATTTTTGGTAGGTTCCAGGAAAATAGTCACTGGTTCGTTGTCAACCAGAATTTGGTGCTTTTCTTTTTTCAACACTCTCTCCTTAGCTTCAGTGGAGACATTAAACATACACATACACATAAACATGGGAGTGATTTTAAATACTCCTCTGATTCAGGCATCTGTACCCTGCCCAAGCACCCTCCCCGGAAGGGCTGCTCCCTGCATGCTGGGATGGTGTGTTGGTGACAGGGGATGTGAGGAAGCTCTTCAAAACTCTCAAGTGGGAGCTTCAGTTTTACTGTACAAATGAAAGATCAATGATAATCAAACACTGACAATTCATTAAAAGTCATGCCTCTGAAACTGTCTCAGTTTCCCTTTTCAATCATATGGAATAATAATACCCACATAAAGTGGACTGAAAAAACAGGGAGTGAACAGTGCAGACTCAGAATTCTGTAAATATACTTATGTGTTCACTGCCACTCATAGAGAGGGGCTGGAAGAAACATACCAAACCCTTCACACTGTTTATCTCCAGGTGTTCTTTATTCTTTTTTCTCTCTTTTCTATGGTGTGCATGTATTATTTTTATAGTCCCCCAAAATAAATCAGTGGAGTATTTATTTAAAACATAAAGCGGAATACCTAAATGGCAAGGGGTGACAGGTGTCTGAGGTGGGGGCAGGGGAAAGTTGTTCTTCTGAGAGCTGAGAAAGATGAGTCGGGACATGGATGCTAGAAGGTGTCCACTTTAAGGCTCAGTCAGGCTAGATCGCCGACTAAGCACCTCTGGGCTCTGTCTGCCACCGTGGGCTGCGTCTCTTGGCAGCCAGAGGCCCAGGTTCCTGTACCTCCACAAGACAGTGCCATACTTTGTCCCGCCCTCTCTCCTTGGTCAGCTAGCACTGGGTCTGCCCGGAATCGCACGGGGGGTGAGCTCCAGGGTCGACCTTTGCACCCCCATCCCCGGGCCTGCACCTCACCTGCCCTTTGCAAGAACTCCACCTTGAAGGTGTTGGGCGCGCTGGCACCCAGGTGTCGGACGGTGCATTCCCCGCCGCCCGAGTTCTTCCGGCTCTGGAAGTAGCTTTCCAGCTTCCAACGTAGATTTTGCCGATGGCAGGGCTCGGACACCCGCACGAGCAGCGGGGATGGCGGGCAGGGGTTCGAGGCCATGGCTTTCTGCGTAGGGCTGGCGCCGCTGCTCCGGACGTTGCTGGACACGGAATGAGGCAGGGGTGCGTCCCGCCCCTCCGCCCGGGGCAGCAAACTTTCAGTTTCGTTTTCCCTGAGCTCCCTCCCAGTTCCCGGCAGCGCTGCTCCCTTTTCTCTCCTTGCCGCCTGCCTTGCGGACCTCGCCGGGTGAGTAGGTCCCCGTCCCCGCAGTCCCCCAGCCCCCGGGGCGGTGGGCGACTCCTCTCCTGCGGCCCTGGTGCCAGCGGCGGGCTGGAAGCCGGCCCCCAGAGCCAGGGCCCCCACGTGAGGGCGAGACTGGTCAGATGCGGAAGTCAAAGTTTCTCCTGAGTTTGTGATTCCTTTTGGCTCTCACTGTTGTTACCGTTATATGCAGCTAAAATGCAATTCCCGTTCTGAATTAGATTAATACCTGCATTTAAAAAAAAATTGAAATGGTTTACCTGCGTTATAACCTATCACCTGTTGTGTCCCTCCAACCCTGTGCTTCAGACGGGCTCTGCGGGTCTTTCTGCCCTCATTCCTTGTCTTGTACCAACAGTGTGGACCACATGCCGCCCTGTGTACTAGGGAATACCGATGAGACTGGAGGCGCCTGCCTCACAGGCTGGTAAAGGGAGGTGGACTTGTGAAGGAAGAAGCAATCTCTTGAATGCCTCCAAGAGGACGTTTGAAGCAAAATCTTAATGAGTGTGTGTGTTGGGGGTAGTTGGAGGAGAGCATCGGAGGCACACATGGAGCACTAGGGCCTTGGAGGAGATGAGATGGGTGAGGGAGATGATAGAGGAAGGGGCTAGACCAGTGCTGTCCAGTACAAATATAATGAAACCAAGGATCTAATTTAAAAAATTTTATGAGCCATATTTAAAAAAATATAAGCAGGTGAAATTAATTTCAATGATGTTATTTAACTCAATATATCCTAAGTTTCATCATTTATGCATCCTAACTTAATCATTCAGCATGTGATGAATATTAAGTACTTACATTTTTACATCCTCTTGGTCATACTGAGTCTTTGCAATCCGGTGTTTATCTGACACTCACATCACATTTCAGTTGGGTCTAGCCCCACTTCAGGAGATCAAAAGCTAGCTGCATGTGGCCAATGGCCCACACTGGAAAGACAGCACAGGTCTAGACAGTGAAAGGTCTTGAAGATCAGTGGGGAGAAATGGAAAGATTGTCAGCTGGGGAAACAGGAGAGTGACATGTCAAGTGTGCATGTTAGAAATGTGGTGTTGACAGCCAGGTGGAGGACACATTTCCAAGCAGGGATGAATGGCAGCAGAGAGGCCAGAGATAAGGTTTTTGCACATGACTGGTAAGAATGGAAATAGGTCAGTCTTTATGGAGAGCAATTTGATAGTACTATCACAATTACAACTGCACAGACTTTATGATTCTGCAATTAGGGGTTGGAGGGAGCCTTTCACACTTTCTAAATTTGAGCCACTAAACTAGTACCTATTCAAACATAAAATGGAAAATTAAACACATTTAAATCTTTAAAGAAAATGTAGTGACATAGCTCAGGCAAGAGGCCCTGAGGCCCTGAAGTGAAGTGGCCGATGGGCAAGGAGTGTTGGGGCATAAGTGACTTAGGTGTTTGGACCTAGTTGATGTTTTGGTTATGGGGCAAATGAGAAAATTCTAAATTTCTGACTTGAGTGGGCAAATGGTGTATCATTGATTGAGCTATGGAATCCAGGAGAGAGAGCATGGATTTTGGAGAGGGTAGGGAGTTGAATCCAGGCAAAAGGCCTGTAAAGTGAAAGTTAGCAAAAGAACCAAGGGAAGATGGCACAGGAGACACCAAGAAAGCAGAGTTTTAGGACTCAAAGAACACAATAACTATAGAAAGAGGTCAAGTAAAATTTAGGACAGAAGGCCAGGAAGCACAGAGAGTCCCAAACAAGATGAATGCAAAGAGGTCTACTCCAAGACACATCATAATTAAAATGCTAAAGGTTAAAGATAAAGAAAGAATCTTAAGAGCAGCAAGAGAAAAGCAGTTAGTTACGTACCTACAGAGATGTCCCCATAAGCCTATCAGCTGATTTCTCAAAAGAAACCTTACAGGCTAGAAGAGATAGCTAGAAATATTCAAAGTCATGAAAAGCAGAGACCTACAGCCAGGGTTGCTCTACCCAGCAAAGCTATCATTTAGAATCAAAGGGCAGATAAAGAGCGTTCCCCTTCCCAGACAAGAGAAAGCTGAAGGAGTTCATCATCACCAAACTATTATTATATGAAATGTTAAAAGGACTTAAGAAAAAGAAGGAGATCAAAACTATCAACAATAAAATGGCAATAAATACATACCTGTCAACAATTGAATCTAAAAAACAAACTAAACAAAGAAGAACAGAGACAGAATCATGGATATGGAGAGTGTTTTGATGGTTGCCAGATGGGAGGGAGGTGTGGGGAAATGGGTAAAGAGGTGAGGGGATTAAGTACAAATAGGTAGTTACAGAAAAGCCTTTGGAAGTAAAGTACAGTATAGGAAATGGAGTAGCCAAAGAACTTATATGCATGACCCATGGACATGAACAATAATGTGGGGATTGCCTGAGGGAGTAGGGGGTGTTGGGTGGAGGGAAAGAAGGGGGGAAAATCAGGACAAATGTAATATCATAAGCACTGAAATATAATTAAAAAAAAGAAAAAGGACAGAAAAGAGTCTACTGGGGTTAACCTCCTGGAGGACACTGATGAGCAGTTTCAGAGGATTCCTGGGGGTGAGGCAGGGGCCCACTACAGTGGGCTGAACAGGCAGATAGATGGAGAAAAGTCATCTTCTTCATGCTGCCCCTGCAGAAAAAAAAGAACACAGTAGAAACCAGTTATGGAAAATTAGGAAGACTTTTGTTGTTATTGGTAGTGTTTTTAAAATGGAAGAGATTGGATGTTTGGGGCAATATGCTCCTTGTTTCTAATTTCTTTGAGGTTAACCACCCTCCCCCGCCCCCACCTGGTCTATAGAAAAGCCTGGTCTATAGAAAAAAACAAGGGCAACACCATCTAAGGCAAAAGCCCCCAGGGAGCCCACCCACCACCAAAGCCAACACTGAAGACTTCCTTCTTTTGTGAAAACAACAGTGCCCTCTGGGGGCAAAAAATGCATCTTGCCTTCTTACTTTCCGATTGTACTGGACTTGCTGCTTTTCCTGACATGTAAGAATAATTGTCCTCTGATGCTATAGATAGCCATACAAAAGTTTTCTACTGCAAAGGCATTACAAATCATTTCAGAGGCAGATGACAACTATGTGGGCAACTAGTGTAGGCTACTATGTTGTTAGGCATTTTCATTTTCTACCTAATTGATAGACAATCATTAAAATAGATTTTTCGGTATTTCTGATTTTTATCCAGATATTCCTCTTTCTTATTAGATCAAGGAATTTACCACAAACTCAGTACACACACCGTTGATGGGCATAAGTACAGTTCTTTTCTTCAAATACTCTCTAGGTTTCTTCATGCTCACTTATATAGTTGGTTTTTCCTCATTTTATTTTTTTAATATTTTATTTATTTATTTTTAGAGAGGGTAAGGGAGGGAGATAGAAAGGGAGAGAAACATCAATATGTGGTTGCCTCTCATGCTCGCCCTACTGGGGTCCCGGCCTGCAACCCAGGCACGGCCTGACTGGAAATCCAACCCATGACCCTTTGGTTCGCAGGCTGGTGCTCAATCCACTGAGTCACACCAGCCAGGGCCTCATTTTATTTTTAATGCCATGCTCAGTCTTACTGCTTGGTACCATTCTCCTCTTGTAACTCTACAAACACCTGCTCCATCCTTCAAGGTCTGGTTCTAGTCTCATCTTCTCCATAAAGCTTTCCCTGCTATAGCCCATATGGCTCTTGCCCATCTCTGAACTGCCACTCTGGTTTCAATTGGAGCCTCTCTGTAAAGGATAGAAGGTAAACAGTAATGACAGCAGCAAGACAATAGTGCCTGTTCACTAGTAAAACTAAAAACTACTCAAGATCAGAAATCATGTTTAGTCTTCCTATGGTTTAGTCTTCCCTAAGATCTGGTCAGTGCTTATTGTATCTTTCGTATTCGTTTCCAGGAGTGGGCCACCATATTTGGGAACAACCATCTTTGCTCAGAAACACAAAACAAAGTATAAACACTTAAAGACCCCAGGTCCCAGGAGGATGGACTTTTCTAAGGTAAACGTACTTATATATAAATGTATATTTATCACGAACTTTGATCAGCACATGAATAGTTCTTCCTATAAGAGCAAGAAATCTGGGTCTTTGGTTTGGTTTTAATAGCCCAATAAAAGTTTTCTCCTTGTACCATGTGAGACAAAGGGAATCGAGAATATGCTGATCTAAACAATAGAGGCACCATTAGGATGGATGACTTTTAAAAATATAACTTTAGTATCATTTTGATTCTGTCTACTCATTCAGCAGTTCTGCTTTTGCAGAGTGAGGGGAGGAGAATTATGGAGGATGGATGAAAACAAGGAAAGAGAGGAAAGACACCTCATTTGTTTAACCATAAAATTCTACATTCAGGCCAGTGCCGTGAAATAAGCAATGGAAAGCGGGTTCTGACTGGTAGGTGGGGGGTGTAGCTAATGTGGCTCATGTCCCTGTGTCTTCTGTTCTATCTAGGAAAGCCCTGCAAGCCTTTGGAAATTGGAGGCCTGTCTGAAAGTTTGGGGTCATTTTGGTCTGTGACCTTTGGGCCTTTCCAAGTGTTAATCTCCAACCTTTCGTCTCATCCTGAATTAGAAATGCACTGATTGGCCTCTAGGAAGTGGGATAGGGTCAATGTTTGCTAGAACATTCAGTACTTCAAGTATTTCAGGCACACAGATTAAACAAAGGAACAAACACATGTTCCCCTACCCGCTCAAACTCAGGGCTTTTAGCAGTTTCTGTTGCTTTGTGATCATTAGGCTGTATTTGTTTTCAGTAATTTATACTCATTTGGTTTCCATTTCTTTAAAACCACTCTAATTTTTCACAGGGTGCTGAAGCAGCAGCTTACAATGAGAAATCAGGTAGGAACACCTCACTCTCAGTCTTGCTCCAGAAATTCTTTGCTCAGATCTGTCCTCAGTGGGAAAAGGGGAACACAGAAGGAGACTGTCTCCCCTGCAAGCGTTCAGGTGCGTGATTGCAGGACCTTGTGGCAACCCAGCCTGAGCCTCAGAGGGGGGACTGCTTCAGAGGCAGTTTGCATCAGCAGGCATGTTCTCTTAGGGTTCCCATTGGTCCTTTCCTTTGCCCTCAAGATGTGAGACTCTTCTGACTACAGCCCTAGAAACTGGTCAGAAGGGGTGCCCCACTGGCTGTCCCTTGCTCAACAAGGGCTGTAAGAGTCAGTGGAACCTGCCGGATTCTAAGGGTGGCCCACTTGAAATTTAAGCACAGGCCAGTTCGATCTGGCTGCTCAAGTGCTGCTTCTTTTAGATAATTCAAACCACCAGAGATCTTTCTACGTGGCTGAGATAAGAAATGAGAGTTGAAGTAAAATATAATTAGTTACCACATTTTACCTATTTTAGGATGCACAGTTTTTCACATCTCTGAAATAAAGCTACTCCCTATCAATCAGTAATATGTCATGGTTTAATTGGTATTATTTTCCTTTCTCGGTAGCATATAATGACGGCATAGATTCCATGAAATACGGTGTCACAGGTTGGGTTCTCAAGGAAGCAGAAACTGAGATGGCATTAGGAATTCGGAAGGTTTATTGTGAAACAAAAAGAGGAGAAACCAGACTGGGCAGGTGGAGCCATCAGATTGTAAGGAAAACTGACAGAGCTCTGCCAGCCTGAGATTGCCCATTAGGGGAGTCCCACATTGGACACAAATGGCCTTGACCAGCCATTGATGGCTGTTTTATTTTATTTTATTTTTTTAATATATTTGATTGATTATGCTGTTACAGTTGTCCCATTTCTCCCCTTCACTGCCCTCCACCCTGCACACCCTCTCCCACCCACATTCCCCCCCTTTAGTTCATGCCCATGGGTCAAAAGTTCTTTAGCTTCTACATTTCCCATACTATTCTTGCCCTCCCCCTGTCTATTTTCTACCTACCATCTATGCTACTTATTCTCTGTACCTTTTCTCTCTCTCCTCCTCCCACTCCCCTGTTGCTAACCCTCCATGTGATCTCCATTTCTGTGGTTCTGTTCCTGTTCTAGTTGATTGCTTAGTTTGTTTTTGTTTTTGTTTTTGTTTTAGGTGTGGTTGTTAATAATTGTGAGTTTGCTGTCATTTTACTGTACTTGTTTTTTATCTTCTTTTTCTTAGATAAATCCCTTTAACATTTCATATAATAAGGACTTGGTAAGGATGAACTCCTTTACCTTGACCTTATCTGAGAAGCACTTTATCTGCCCTTCCATTCTAAATGAAAGCTGTGCTGGATAGAGCAATCTTGGACGTAGGTCCTTGCCTTTCATGACTTGGAAGACTTCTTTCCAGCCCCTTCTTGCCTGTATGGTCTCTTTTGAGAAGTCAGCTGACAGTCTGATGGGAACTCCTTTGTAGGTTACTGTCCCCTTATCTCTTGCTGCTTCTAGGATTCTCTCCTTCATTTTTACTTTGGCTAGTATAATTATGATGTGCCTTGGTGTGTTCTTCCTTGGGTCCAACTTCTTTGGGACTCTCTGAGCTTCCTGGACTTCCTGGAAGTCTATTTCCTTTGCCAGGTTGGGGAAGTTCTCCTTCATTATTTGTTCAAATAACTTTTCCACTTGTTGCTCTTCCTCTTCTCCTTCTGGCACCCCTATAATTTCAATGTTGGAATGTTTAAAGATGCCATGGAGGTTCCTAAGCCTCTCATTTTTTTGAATTCTTGTTTCTTCATTCTTTTCTGATTGGATGTTCCTTTCTTCCTTCTGGTCCACACCTTTGATTTGAGTCCCAGTTTTGTTCCCATCACTATTGGTTCCCTGTACATTTTCCTTTAATTCAGTTAGCATAGCCTTCATTTTTTCATCTAATTTGTGACCAAATTCAACCAATTCTGTGAGCATCCTGATTGCCAGTATTTTCAACTGTGCATCTGATAGGTTGGCTATCTCTTTGTCACTTAGTTGTATTTGCTCTGGAGCTTTGATCTGTTCTTTTGTTTGGGCCCTTTTTTTGTCTTGATACTCCTGTTAGTAGCAAGGGGTGGAGCCTTAGGTGTTCTCCAGGGTGGGGCAACCCCGTGACTGGGTTGTGATGCTGTATGTGGGTGCGGGGTCCAAGAGGAAACAATGGCGCTTACTCTGCTCTCCGTGAGATTTCAGTCCCTTCCCCTGCTTTGCCCAAGCTAACTGGGCCTTTCTGGTGCTAATTCCCATGTGAGTGGGCTTGTGCACGTTCTAAGACCCTGTGGGTCTCTCCAACGCACTCTTCTATGAGGCTGAGAGTCTCTCCCTGCACCTCAACCCCCACAGGTGTATTCAATCAGTGTCCCGAGGTTCTATTTCCCAGCACTGGGACCCTGGTTTGCGAGGTCTGTCTCACTGCCCAGTTTTGCCTGGTTTATCTGCACACAAATGTTGGCCCAGACAGCCAGGCGCCTTGTGCGCAGTGTCTGCCTGCTGCAGTCTTGTGCTCGGGATGCCTTACACACCCAGGATGCCTTAAGTGCCTGGGTTGCATTATGTGTCTGGTGCCACTGCTCTTTGTGCCTCAACCCTTCTCCGCCCGGCTGCCCAACTCCGCCCCTCCTACCAGTCTGGATGAAAGTGTATATTTTAACTCCTTGGTTGTCTGACTTCCATATAGTTCAATTTTCTGTCAGATCTGGTTATCTTGTTTCTAAATTGTTGCTAACCTTATTTTGGTTGTACGAGGAGGCACAGTGTGTCTACCTACGCCTCTATCTTGGCGAGAAGTCAGTCTATCAGTTTTAATTCCACCAAAATTGTCCCATGAAACTAGAGTATGATTCTCCACCCATTTGCTGGACCATGCCCCCACAGAGCATCCTTGACTAAATGACTGATAGAAGTTGGATGAATATTTCAGCTCCTTTCCCCTTCTTGTGGTATAACTCTGAGACATACTATTCCGCAGTGAAGTTAAGCTTTGTTTGCTTCATAACACATCCTCTATTCATGTCCTTCCTTTTCTTGTCTTACTTTCCCACTCTGGCCTCCCATCTCATACCCCTGGTGTTTTCTAGGATGAACTCCCAAGAAAACCCAGACTAAGGCACAAAGACTAAGCAAACAAGTTATGAATAAAGCCTCCATTTATTTGTGTCTCATAATTAAATACTTTCCAATACTCATGCCTTAAGCATGGTTCTTCCCAAACTCACCATTTTTATGTGAATTGTAAAATTCATAAACCCCTACACATGTAGTTTTCTTACCACTATCCCCATATCATAGTAGCTACCAATTATGGAGTATTTATTAAATGCCAGACACAAGACTAAGTAAGCATTTTATGGGCGATTTACCATTGAAAACTCTTAGGCATTCTTGGTCTAATTACATATCTAGGTGAGAAAGAACCAGGAAGGGGGCAAGAAGAAGTTCATCCCAGTTTTGCATATAGGACACTCAGTCTCCAGACCTGAGGTGGCATTATATCCTTTTCAAAGGAACCTTTGCTCATTTCTTTCTTCTTCTTTTTTTTTAATCTTCTCTCCTTTTCCAGAGATTCTTGGAGACATTCTTGGAGAAAACTATAGTTGGCAAATACCCATTAATCACAATGACTTCAAAATTTTAAAAAACAATGAGAGTCAGCTGTGTGAAGTTCTCCAGAATAAATTCGGCTGTATCTCTACCCTGGTCTCTCCAGCCTGGGAAGGTAACAGTGAGTCTCTGCAAGTCTTCAAAAGAAGGCTGACTCCTTGGTTAGAGTTGTCTGTCTGGAAGGATAACCTCACCAGGCATGCTGTTGATGCTGTAGTGAATGCAGCCAATGAAGATCTTTACCATGGGGGAGGCCTCGCCGGTGCCCTGGTGAAAGCTGGTGGCCAAGAAATCCAAGAGGAGAGTACAAGATTGGTTTCTAGATTTGGTAAAATACCAGCTGGTGAAATAGCGTGCACAGGAGCAGGGAGGCTTCCCTGCAAACATATTATCCATGCTGTTGGGCCTCGGTGGGAGGAAGTGCATAGGGAGAACTGTATTTATCAGCTACACATGGCCATTGTACATATTCTGAATTTTGTCACCTCTGGCAAGCTGTCCATTGAGACAATAGCAATTCCAGCCGTGAGCTCTGGGATTTTCCGGTTCCCTCTGAATTTGTGTACACAGATCATAGTGGAAACTATCAAGAATTATTTCCAAGGTATGCAACTGACTGGGACTTTAAAACAAATTCACCTGGTAAGCAATGAGGACCCTACTGTTGCTGCCTTTAAAGCTGCTTCAGAAGACATACTAGGGGAGAACGAGCTGGGGTTCCAGGTGAATCAAGGAGCCGTCCTTCCTTTCAGTATGATGACGGTGAACAACCTGACTGTCCAGATTGTCCAAGGCCTCATTCATCTGCAGGAGGTAAGTCTTTGTGTTCTCTTGAACTGCCAAAGGGGATCCCTTAACTGTTTATTACCTACCAAGTATGTTTTGAGTATACACTATTCCAACCATTGTTTAATCCTGTTAAGGTTAAGAATATGGACTTTAGAGACAGACCACCTGGATCTGAATACTGGCTTTGCCGTATACTAGCTGTGTGATGTGAATCTGGTTACTTTATCTTTTGGTCCTCAGTTTCTTCATCTGGAAAATGAGGATACTAATAACAATATCTTAGAGTTGGAATCAATACATATAAAATACTTAGGCTAGAGCTTGGCACATAGTAAATATTTATAACAATTATTGCTATTATTCTTAGGCACCGTGCAGAAACAGAACAATTTTTGATTCCAAAAATTCTCTATTTGAAGAATCTCATTGTTAGATAAACCATCTGAACATTTCTGAAGCAACCTATCAATAGTAAACAAAAAAGTCTTAATACAACATGAATTCATAATATTTAAGAGTAGGTACACTTGTGATAAGAGTGGAGTGGATCAAGAAAGATTACTTCAGACAATGGGAGTTTTGGATCTGATCTCAGGTTATGATAGATATGAATTGATGGGAAGAGGGGCCTGGTTGTTAGAATGATCAGAGAGACACAGAGGAATTAATGGATAGAAAACAATAAGCTGGACCAGTCAGGAGACTTAGATGGACCTGTAAGTTATATTCTGAGTATATGGCTCTGTGCCAGGAGCCATGGAGAATACAAAATGTGAGCATTTAGCCAGGGCACAAAGGTTCCTAGGGCACAAAGGAGAGGGCCTTGGCAGGGAGGGAGAGAGTCAGGGGAACAGTGAACCTAGGTACTTCCGGGTTAGTGCAGCTCCCCTGCTAGGAAGAGAGCACCTTGAGAATGAGCATCATAGCTTGTTCATCTCTGTAGCTCCAGAGCCTGGTTTGGGCATGCTTCTAGGTGTTCAGCAAGTGACTGATGAATGAGTGAAGGGGAATTCAGGGAGCAGGGACTGGAACAGAGGAAAAGAAAGAATATAAGGCTGTATTCTTTTTTTTTTCTTAATCAGTGATATCACACCTGAGACTCTCCTCAGGCCACAGTCAAATATCTTAATCATAAATGAAAAAAAACCACTTACTGCCTGCAGGACAATTATAAAGAAGACTGAGAGAACCCCCATAAAATGAAATATTTATTTGATAAGTCATTAATATAGAAACATGAAAGTGGAAACATAGTTGAATAACTTACTTAACTAAACTTTTATCATATTTATTTAGTTCTAAGAACATTAGGAACCTTAAAATTGCAAAATGGGGCCAGTTCCCCCAAATTGTAAATTCTGACTGTACTTTCAAAGTAAAGCATTCATTAATATCTATGAGAAATGCCTAAGTTACCCCTAAAGGGAGCCAAAATCATCTGGATGATTTAGGAGGATTTGGGCATGGTGGGGGGGAAAGGATACAACCCTTTAAGTGCAGATCTTAGAGCTAACTATGTGATATTACTTCAAATACAGCCCATGTATATGTACAGTCTATTTCTGAAAGGACAGATGGGAAAAGCATCTGCCTGTAGGACAGGTGGTGAGTGATGGACAGATCTGAGGACCCCACCAAGGTGAAGGCTGACTTTTTTTTGTCTCACTTGTAATTTCTTTATTTACTAAATACCTTTAAAAAAAATAAGAGGTGGAAATTTTATTTCTACTCTATTTAAAACAAAAGGGAAAATTCACACAAAAATAGCAAAAGTGATGACAGTGAGGCAGAGAATGAAACTATTCATTAATAAAACTTAAAATAGCCCTGACCAGTATGGCTGAGTTGGTTGGGCTTCACCCCACAAAGCAAAAGGTCACGAGTTGCATCCCCAGTCAGGGCACATGCCTGGGTTGTGGGTTTGGTCCCAGGTTGGGGTGCAAACAAGAAGGCTGCTAATTGACATTTCTCTTTCATATCAATGTCTGTCTCATCTCTTTCTCCCTCCCTTCCTGCCTCTCTAAAATTAAGTTTTTTAATTTTTTTAAAAAATTAAAGCTTAAAATAAAGCAGGGAATGCTCAGAATATGGGAATATGAGGGGTATAAGCCAGCAAGAGGCTGACAGGTGTTTGCAATAAAAATGGTATCATCCACACACTTTACCTAATTACTGAATAGGATAATCAGACTGGTCAAATGATCACTCTTTGGAAATAGGAGTTTCTATCCATTATTAAATGATATTTTTGTGAATTTAGGATCTTCAAAAGTAATTTTCAAAGCTCTTCAGGAAATAAAGATTTAAAGTGGTCATTTAACAAAAAGCAATTTAACGAGCAATCCTGTCCATTCTTTCCCTTTTCAGACAGATGTATTTGTTGGTTTTGTAAATCCAAATCTTGGTGATGGAGTTGGTCCTGTGTCGGAATCATTTCCCCAAAAAGCAGGAAACAAAATGACAGAGGAGTTTACCAAAAAAACCCTTCAGACATCTAAGGATTCCCCGTTGGTACTGGTCACAAGTAACTCTAAATCACCTGGTCAATATGTATTCTATGTGTGCCAGCCTTCAGAATATTCTAAACAGGATCTGGTAAGGTCAAAATAAATATATCTTTATGAGCTTGATAGTCTATGTAGTCTTTGTTGAATTTCCATCGTGTCATTACATTCATGAAATATCATTGAGTGGTATAGTCCCTATTTTCTACCACTCCTGTGAAAGCCTAAAATACTGAATAATTCTTGTTGCCATAATAAATTATCTTAAGAAGTTTAATCTACAGTAATACTAACACGTCTAAATTTTAAGTGGGCATACCATAAACAGACATAGCAATATCAAGTCTGCATACCCATTTGCCGTGCCCTAAGTGGGCCTGGAATTCAGCCTCTCCATATTTCCCTCCATCTGTTAAATTCCAGGAGGACCTGGGATTTCCCTTCTAGCACCAGTCTAGTCAAATTAATTACTTATTGTGTCTTCCCACTGCCTTTGTCTATCTTTACTTTTTTGGTACTTTCTGGTTCTTTCTTGGTTACAATTTCTGGTTCTTTCTTGGCTAGAGGGCACTCTAATCCCAAATTAGTCTTTCAATCATCCCTACCCCTCAGTTTTCCAAGGTCGTTCCACAGACAACCTTCCTGTATTAATATTCAGTTTGGATGTTGAAATATTGATGCAAAGTTTTAAATCTGCCGAGTATACTAGCACTTCTCTAGGAGAAATTACATGACAGACCTTAACAACACTGAATAAATGGTGCTTACTTATTTTAACCTCTGCCTCCTTTATTAAACTCCCAAGACCTCTTTTTGTTGACCTGGAAGTGGCACATGAGTGGGGATAACCTACCTGATGGTTGGCTCTCTGACCTGGGAGAAATCATGGTGCCCAAACGTCCTGAATAGCACAAAAAGGACCCCTCATTTACTTCAGTTTCTTTAGTTCTTTTATTTTTCTTTATTTAACCTTATAGCTGTAATGGGTTCCCTGTAGAGTGGGCCCTTTCCTGCTCTCTGAGAAGGCATGGACATAGCTTTGAGGGGGGGAGGAGATTAGCATTGTAAACAATGAGCAGGATCAAGGGGTAAGTGAAGGGTTATTTTTTACTTAAAGGCTGATCTTAAAATTATATTTTTCCTATAGGTATTGAGAAACATAGTGAAGAAGTGCTTGGAAAAATGCCTTGAGCTAAATGTAACTTCCATTTCTCTTCCTCCTCTTGGGACTGGAAACGCTGGTTTGGGGAAGTATGAAGCAGCAGAGATTATGTTTGATGAAGTTTTAATGTTTGCCAAACAATGCTTTAAAAAACAACTAACTATAAAGTTTGTGATCCTTCCTGAAGAACAGGAGACATATGAGGTAAGTTAGTATCTTAGAAATGTCCTATAATTTATTCATTCATTCACTCATTCATTCTTTCATTTAACATCTGTTTAGTGTTTCAAATGTAAGACACGAGGCCAAGGTGTACTGCATGGTCATATTCTAATTTGGTGAAATCTAACTTCTGTAAATTGCCCATCTGAAACCTAGTAAAGAATACCGTTGTAGAAGGTATTTGGCTTTAACCCACCACCTAGCTTCACTCCTTTCCTTTGTTGGTACTTACTCTTCCCCATCTTTAAAGGTAAACAACTTCCTAGTTTCGATGTGGGGTCCTATGCTCCTCTCTCTACTTGCTTCCTTTAAGAATACAGCTGTTCTTAAACTTCTGTGGAGTCTTGATCCAACTGTTATCTTAAATCCTGCATATTTAAAACAAAGTCTTTAGCTTTTCCTCTCCAATCAATCAACTTCCTTGGGCAAGTTTAGTTATTTATCTGTAACTCAGTTTCCTCAGTTTTAACATGGGGATAATAACTACCATCTTATGGAGCTGTTGTGAGAATTTGATGAGTTAATACACGTAAACACTTTGAACAGTACCTGGCATACAGGAAGTCCTCCCTGAAGGTTGGCTGTTATATTAGCTACAATGAGCTGCAGTTCACTGAACGCTGCTGAACTGAATATTAACTTAAGTGAATTGTTATCCTTTTTCCAATTAAATAATAAGTTTTTTAACAGCAAGGGTATATCTGACTGCTTTCGCCATGACCCCAGTACTGCCCTCAAATTAATTTCTTACCTCATCTGTAGGTCACTTCACAGGGAAATCAGCTGTGGTCTGACACAGATGGAGGGCGTGTGTGCCTTTGTGTCTGAGTGCAGACATCTTGTGCCCAGCTTCTTTAGTTTTCACTTCACCTCAAGCTTTTTCTTGTAGAGTGGCCAGATCAGCTGAGTTTCTTTCATGTGAATAGGCCATTGATGTATTCAGCATAATTAGTATATACTGCTGTGCTGTTCTGCTTTTAAAGTGCCATCTCTTAAGGAGTTCATCATGTTAAAGGGACTTATTGGAGAAAAAGAAGATGATCAAAAATGTGAACAGTAAAATGACAACAAACTCACAACTGTCAACAACTGAACCTAAAACAAAAACAAAAACAAAACAAACTAAGCAAACAACTAGAACAGGAGCCGAATCACAGAAATGGAGATCACATGGAGGGTTTTCAGTGGGGAGGGGAAGGAGGAGAATGAGGGAAAAGGTACAGGGAATAAGAAGCATAATTAGTTAGGTACAAAATAGGCAGGGGGAGGGTAAGAATAGTATAGGAAATGTAGAAGCCAAAGAACTTATATGTACATGGACTTATATGTATTTGTTCCCCATGGACATGAACTAGGGGGAGGGGGGAATGCTAGTGGGAGGAGAGGTGCAGGGCAGAGGGGAATAAAGGAGAGAAAAAATGGGACAACTGTATAGTATAATTAATAACATATACTTTAAAAAATACAGGGCGGGGCAAAGTTTACAGTTTTAAGTATAGAAAACACAGTTTATCCTTATATTATTATTTATTAATTATTGTGTTATTTTCCATATGAACAACTGTAAGCCCACTTTTGCCCCATCCTGTATACAACATCATTTGAAGAGAGAGAGAGAGAGAGGCAGGGGGGAGAAAGAAAGATCTCATTGCTTTATTCTCACTTAATTGGCATTTTCAAAAAAGACTCTAATGATGATGTTAAGAAATACTAAAAAAGAAATGAGATGAGACAGCACCTTAAACTAGGTTTTGAAGACATAGGTTTCTGATTCTGCCAACAGCAACATTGAAGTGCTAGTACGACTTCCCAGGCATGTGTCTGGGTTTGGGTGTAAAGGGCCTTCTGAGTGCCTGGCCCAGAGAGTAGCTCCAAACATTAGTCTTTTTTCACGCTTCCCAGCCTGTCTCTATGTGGATGGTTGCCATTTTATCTCTTCACACAAGAAAATGGACTTATATTGGTTCTAGCTTGCTCTTTCCTGGAACAAGTATAAAGGTTCTTATTCCTTTTGCTGTCTGACCAGACACAAGGAAGTTTGTAGTGTTTGCTGATTTCCCCTGCTGTCTTCAAACTATCCATGTGACACCACTGAAGGCGGTGAATTGAGAAGACATGTGCACAATGGGCTCGTGAGCCAATGTTAGCCGGCTCCAGCATACCACTGTGTCTCACCTGCAGCTCACCTGCATGATGATGGTGAATTACCCAGTGAAGATAATTATTAGCTCACCTTCTTGACAAAATGAATCATCCTGTCCCTCAAATGAAGTTCACCTGTTCCCCCCAAGTAGAGGACTATAATTGGGCCTGTACAGGTTGCCCTGAGTATATCTTTGAGCTGTTCATGAAACATTATATCCCTTCAAGAGGAATTAACCACATCTTGAAAAGAAGGCTCATTCTTTCCAACCTACAAACAAAAATGTACATGGCAGTTCAACAAAAGTAGAAAGATCAACCACAGTCTGAGGGCTCCCCTAGGGCCCAATAATAAAAATAGCTGCCATCTATTGCATCAGCCAGGTACTGTGCTAAGAAGCTGTCTCATTCCATTCCCTACTCTAATCCTGTGATGAAGCCCCTGTTGTCATCTCCATTTTACAAACGGGAAAACCTATTAGCGCAGAAGTTAACATACACACAGTTAGTCAAATGGCCAAACGAAGATTCCAACCTGGGTCTGTCTGTCCCCAAAGCCTGTGTTCTGAACTACTAAAGAAAAACAAAAAATAACTTGAGAGATGATATGTCTTTCAGTTCTGTAACTCAAAGGAGAGGACTGTCTGACACAATAACTTACATTATACCCTGACATTGACTATCCCCCTTCAGGCTTTTTCAGTATCAACACAGTATTATATCCACATGGAAGTATGATGTGTGTGCATGCATATGTATACCTTCGGGCCTTCTGATAAACACATCTTTTCTTCCTAAATAAGTCTTTCAGTGAGGGGTGTGTGTTCAGAAAGATCAGAGGGCAGTTTACACATTTCTTCACAAAGGACACTACCTTGGCAAGTCCCTACATTTCAGAAAATGGATACGCCAGACATCCAGAGTTGTCCTAACTCAGGAATAGCAACTTACACTGAACTCACAATAAGGTGATACTTATAGTCACATACTGGTGAGTTTTTGAATTTATGAATGACAGTGAATAATTCCCCAGCTGACTAAAATACCTGTGTTCACCAGTATTTCATGGTTATAAGGGTCCTGGTTGGAGCTGAGTATCTGTGAAAGGTGATGGATAGTCATTCATTTGTTTTTATAACCAATATTTATTGCATATCTACCTTGTGCCAGACATTATGTCTCAGAATAAGGAACAGCTCTCCAGGAACACATTACTAACATCCCTCATGATAAGTGTTGGTCATTTGTGAACAGAGTTGGAAAAACTGCCAAATTCTTGCCATGTAGAGCCACTTTCCCAAACCTTGCAGGTCATCTGCTTGTTACCCACACGTTCTTCTTGGTTATTGGTACTGATTAAGTTACAGTCTTCTCCCAAATTCAATTCAAAAGGCTGGCATAATTGATTTTTCACCCTGCAACACATCCTGCCATTTAAAGTGACTTTGGGAGAAGGCAGATTTTTATCCATTTTGCATATGGCAGCTATTCTTAGTCTATTTATCAACAGATAATATAATTTCATTTGTTTTATTTCCAAGTTCTTCTATAGGGAGGATAGGGAAGTTCCCTGTAATGACCTTTCCAGGTACAAAATCTGTTAAGCTCAAGAACTTTTTGCTCTGGAGATAGCAGATGCAAATATGACTTATGAAAAAAGTATCCTACAAATTATGAAACTTTATTGTTAAAGTTCAGGCTCAAAACAAAATCTAGTTTTCGCCTCAGCATTTATCATCCTTACAATGAAATAATTACTGCCAATTGCATCAACTTTAAAAAAGGAAGACACTGGATATGGTGGTTCCAAATGCTAACAGAGATGAGTTTTTTTAAACAGACAAATCTTAATCCATAGACTGTCATATAATAATAATACAGCAACAACGAACATATTGAATGTTCACTATGGGCCAGATACAGTTAGGAATTGATCATTTATTCATTCTATGAGAAAGCATTGTGTATAACATTTGAAAAATGAATTTATGTTTTATTAATTACAAGAGCACCTGCCTTTATATTTGTCTTCTTCAGCGCCATATCCACAGCTCTAGGTCAGTGCCTAACATGCAATAAGCAGGGCATTAATATCTTTTGAATGAGGAGTTCCATCCGAGATGAAAGTGTAGGTAGAAACCCTTCATTTCCTCACACAACCAAAAGGAGGATAACAACCAAGCTAAAATAAACCAGAAGTGCCAGAAAATCAAATTGCATGGAACCCCACCAACCAAGGAATTAAAGAAAAAGTCAAACAGAACAACCAGACTGGTAAGAACCCATGGTGAGGCTGCTGACCACATGGACGGGGCTGGCTGAAGGCAAATCTGAGACTCAGAGCTGACTGTGGACTACCGCAGTTGCCGTGGTGAGAAAAACTCCCAGTTTCACTCAGGAGTCCGTTGGAAAGTGCGCTAGAGACAAGCAGGCGAGCTGCACTGTTCCCTCTCTGGCCCCTCCCACACAGGCAACACTGCAGTGCACCAAGGAGGGTTGCCTGCCTGGGTAATACCTAAGGCCCCGCACCCTTACAACTTAACAGGTGTCCCGAGACAAAAGAAATATGGCCCAAAGGAAAGAACAGAGGAAAACTTCAGAAAGAGAGCTAAATGATGAAGAGATAGCCAACCTATCTGATGGAGAATTTAAAGCCCTGGTAATCGAAATGCTCACAGAACTGATTGAGCTTGGTCAAAAAATGAAAGAACAAATGAAATATACCCAAAATGAAGTAAAGCAAAATATTCAGGGGACCAACAGTGACAGGAAGGAAACCAGGACTCAAAGCAATGATTTGGAACAAAAGGAAGAAATAAAAATCCAACTGGAACAGAATGAAGAAACAAGAATTCAAAAAAAATGAAGAGAGACTTTTGAACTTCTTTGACAACTTGAAACATTCCAATATCCAAATTGTAGGGGTGCCAGAAGGAGAAGAATGAGAAATTGAAAACTTGTTTGAACAAATAATGAAGGAAAACTTCCCCAATCTAGCGAAGAAAATAGACTTCCAAGAAGTCCAGGAAGCCCAGAGAGTCCCAAACAACTTGGACCCAAAGAGGAACACACCAAGGTACATCATCATTAAGTTACTCAAGATTAAAGATAAGGAGAGAATCCTGAGAGCAGCAAGAACAAGGGAGAGAGTTACCTACAAAGGAGTTCCCATAAGACTATCAGCTGATTTCTCAAAAGAAACCTTGCATGCAAGAAGGAGCTATAAAGTAGTATTCGAAGTCATGAAAGGCAAGGACCTACATCCAAGATTACTCTATCCAGCAAAGCTTTCATTCAGAATGGAAGGGCAGATAAAGTGCTTCTCAGACAAGATCAAGTTAAAGGAGTTCATCATCACCAAGTCATTATTATATGAAATCTTAAAGGGACTTATCTAAGAAAAAAAGATAAAAAATATCAACAATAAAATGACAACAAACTCAAAACTATCAACAGTTGAACCTAAAAGAAAAGAAAAACAATGAAAACAAAAACTAAGCGAACGACTAGAACAGGAACAGAATTAGAGAAATGAACATCACATGGAAGGATTTCAGTGGGGAGGGGGAAGAGAGGAATAGCAGGGAGGAGGTACAGGGAAGAAGAAGCATAATTAGTAGGCATAAAATAGATGGGGGAAGATAAAAATGATGTAGCAATCAGAGGACTTAAAGAACTTATATATACAACCCATGGACATGAACTAAGAAGAGGGAAGTTGGAGGGTTGGGGGGTGCAGGGGGGAGGGGGGATGAAGGGGGAAAATTGGGAAAACTATAATATCATAATCAATAAAAATACTTTAAAATGTCTTCTGAATGAGTGAGTCAGTGAATGAATGAATGAATGTTAATATGTTGCCTTGGAATATACTTTCTTTTGGCTTTTTGGAATAAACCAAAAGCCAGATTTTGGGTTTCCTTCCATTTTTCCTATACTTGTTTCCCCTACATGTTCTAATAGATTATGGTGCTGTACTTGCTGTTCCCCGCACAATGGTTGAGGTCAAGTGTGGTGTGTGCGTGCAGGTAGAGACAGGGATTTTCATGCTGATGGCTAAAAGCCCTGTTCTGTTCTATTTTGCTTCTTGTAGGTTTTCAACACTGTAATGGCAAAGAGTAAGTCCAAGCAGCAGCCTTTCAACAATTACACTGGTAAGAAATTCATGGGCCTAGCCGCAGCATCTCATACCATAGGCTCATTCTATTCTTGATCATCTAAACTCACAGAAGGAAGAAGAATAAAGAAGCCAAATTTATTTCATTGTGTTCCTGTCTAGATACCATCCTGCCCTGTATGTGACCATGTCTCAGTCCAGTTTTATATGAACAGAGCAAGGCTAAGTTGAATTAAGTAATCCACAGTGTGGATAGTTCATTTACAAATGCTGTCTATAATTTTTTTTCTAAAAAATAGTTCTGCCCTACAGAAGCTGACTTAGCCAGCACTCTTTCTCCTCTGAATGAGCAAACATCTAATAGAGGTATTCTTCAATCACTATAGAAAATATATCTTGTAATACCAGATAACAATAAGTGTATTAATCCAGTGCTATCCAAACCTGAGTAATCACTGAGATCATGACCGAAACTTTAAAAAGCAAACAACAAACAAGCAAATGTATGTATAGGCCCCAATCTGGATCTGGGCCAAGCATGTATTATTTTCAGTGTCCCCTAATCATGCTACCAAACCAGGTTTGGACATCACTGAGCTAAACCAGTCCTGGTTGTTGGGAGGTGGAAAACGTTTAACTTTGTCTTATAACTACCTTCCCTCAGTGGAGAGTGAGTGGACTGAGATGGAATTGCCTCATGACAACTAGGTTGTGTACATCTGAAATAGTCTTTTAATCTAAAGTATTCTGTAGACGTTAAGAACACTAAACATTCAACCAGCATTAGAAATTATTAGTATATTTCCCATTAAGGTCAAAATTATTTGTTCATACTTTTTATTGAAAAGTTCAGTTATGGATGTTCAGTGGTCCGGCAGGGCTGGAAGTGAAGGAGGGATTTTAAGAGTCCTGATTTGTGACTTTGCCTCTTATGAGCCTGATTTTATTTATCTGTAAAATGATCATGACAGACTGTTGCAAGGGTAGAGATTATGTGCATAAAAATGTTCTGTAAATTGTAAAGCATTAAATAAATGCCAGGGAGTAAATAATGAATGACAGAATGGACAAACTCCCCAAGTGGCTAAGAGATGGGAGAGACTGCAAGGGATCAAGTATGGCTTCATAGATGAGATGGTTCTAAGCTTGTCTTTGAGGATGCTAAGATTTTCAATGACCAGAGACGGGGTGGGGCTCCTAAGGTAGAGAAAACCCACTGAAGCAAACAAATACAGTGCATGTTTGGGGAACCACAATGAATCTAGAGAGGCTGGATAGGAGGAGTTTGGGGTGGGAATAATATGGAAAAGAAACATACAAATGTCTCTTTGTCATTAATCTGAATAATAAGGCCAGGCATTGACATTTATTTCTGTAATTCTTGGCGAGATCTGTAGAGGAATTATAGAGTAACATTAATAATGATGAATGATGATGATCTCAGGTGATCATTTGAGATTGATAATGATGAATGATGTTCATCTCAGATTATCAAGGACAATTTAGACTATTACATAAGTAAGTATTATTAATAATGTTAATAATGGCAAGTGGTGATGATCTCAGATTATCAAGGAAAAGTTAGACTATTTGGGAAGGTAATGTGGTTCCATTAGAAATGTCTAACTAATCAATAGTTAAATGTTTTGGTGTTAGAAGAATATCCTGTAGTGATCTGAACAATGTAGTTACCTAGAAGAACAATTCTTTCCTGATGATGATGCATAAATGAATTATTACCATGTAGTGTTTTTATTTTCTCCTAAAAAGTAGTAATAATGTAAGCTCCCCAACAGAACAAGGGTTCAAAAAAATGTATGCCTTTAAGAACCTCCCCCCCACACACACACACACTTGTAAGTGTTGTGTAAAACATTGGTTTTACTTTTTACTCAGGGGAAGGCCATCCTCCCCCTCTTCTAGGTCTTTCCTGATACTTTTTCATAGTTCCCAGTACCTCCCTACTACTATATTAGGTGAAAGATGCTAATTAGCACTACTGTCGTGGGATCATTCGCTGGGGGGCAGACGTGTGTGAGCGATAGAGTCACTGCCCACATCTGCTAGCTCCCTGGCTACCATTTACCAGTGCTAAAACCCTGGGCAAGTTATTTAATAACTCAGAGTTAGTTTCCTTATTTGTAAGATGGGGCTACTAATAGTACCTATCTCTCTGTGTTGTGAGGATTGAATAAAATATGTAAAGCACTGAGAACAATGCCTAGAACAGAGTAAGTGCTTGACTTAAATTTTCCCCTCAAAATATGTCACTGAGATTCATCTCTGTATCTAAAATTCTCTACTTTTCATTGCTATATTAATATTCCATTGTTGAAGGACCTAGGTTATTTCCAGTTCTTGGCTGTTACAAACAAGTAGGTGAACTTTCTTGTACACATCCCCTGATACACATGTGCCAAAGTTTCTTTAAATAATATAATTATAGAAATGGTTGCTTTGATTTTACATCTGTCGTGAATACATACGAGTCCCAGTTGCCCTATGTCCTTCCCAACACTTGAGGTGGTCAGACTTACAAATTTTTGCCAGCCTGGTGGGTAATTTTTCATATCCCTGGTTACCGACGGAGGGGACCTCTTTTCATACATATGTGGGCCATTTTTGTTGCCTCTACTGTGAATTTTTTTCCCAGCTGGCTACTGGGTTGTTTCTTTTTATTAATGATTTGAGGGAATTCTTTATATATTTTACATACTGCCTCACCTATGAATTCTCTCTCAGCTAGTCCATCCTCCTTCTCCCCGGCACCCCACCTTTTTTTTTCAATTTGGGTTCAGAGCCATCCTAATCCATCAGAAATTCTTCTTTATACATATCTTTATTCCTTGTAGAGGGGTGTTGTAGAAAGAGGTATATGTGGGTGGGTTGAAATCAAGTTGCGTTTCCTTTTCTGCTGGGATGTATATACTGTGTCTAGCAGCAGGAGCTGCTAAGGCCCCAAGGCTTGTGGAGATACACAATGCCCTGTCGCACACACATAAGATATAAATGGGAATCCCAGGTAGTAGAATTACGGGTATCTCCATCTTTCATTAGACTTTGATAATTTTCCCATTTTTTCAGTATTTTCAGTAATAAACGTATTATTTTATAATCAAATATATTTTTTAAAGAATTTTTACTCTCCAAGCTCTATGGCTTTAAGAGATGTTTGATTTTAAATCTGGGATTAGCAAGAGGTTAAGGAAAACCCCATTCAGTAGGAAATAATAGTTAGTCAACATCTGGAGTGAGATCACAAGGTGAACTCACCTGTGAATTGATGAGTGCAACACAGCAGGGGCAAGACATGATGAAGCCAACCCCTTATAAGCTAAACTGTATGCTCAAGGAAACTGTAAACTCTCTTTAGATTTCCTTTATAACCAGCACAGCTCTCAGAAATATTACGTAATTGAAGCTGCTACATCAGACAGTGGTGACAATATCCTGGGGTGGATACTAGCCCGGGTATATTGCTATGGTTTGCTTTAAAACCCACCTTTCTTCTGTGGTTGCTTACAATTGCCTTTTTCAGTTCCCCAAGGGACCAGGGGAACCAGAGAGACCCGAGAACATGGACTAAAAGCTAACTCTCCTGCCATCAATCTGATGGGACCTAACCAGGAAAAGATGGGTGAGGCCCAAGAGTGGATCCAAAGGATACTGACCCACCAGGACCAGCACACCATTGAGAATAGTCACATCCTCTACCTTGGGAAAGAGGAACATGACATTTTGGCTCAGCATCAGGCAGCCTCAAAGGTCTCTATCTCAGAGATTATCAATCCAGGAAAGGCAACTTTAGAGATCAAGGGAGCCCAGGCTGACCTCATTGAGGTGATTTTGAAGATTGAACAAATGCTGTGTGAAGTTCAAGAGAAAATGGCAAGAAAAAAGGAGCAAGCCCTTTGGAGCTCATCAAGTGAGTAACTTCCCATTAAGTTGGAAAGTCAGCCCTCCCAGCTGTCCTTTTGGGTGTGATTATGCATGTATGTGTGTGGGTGAGAGAGAGCAAACCATGCAGGTTCTGTGTTAGGCCATAAACTTTTATAATCATTTTGGGGCTGTTTCTACCAACAGGGTTAATTATTAGTAAATGAACACACACACACACACACACACACACACACACAATTGGATTTACTTATGATGACATAGATTGCCTAAGAGGCGGTTGCAGGGAAAGCCTAGGGTAATCCACTCCCAAGCAGTGGGGAAAAGTACCATCTTTAATTCTGCAGACGGAGCATTCAAGTGTAGACATTCCATTTGATTAACTAATTTCTTGAATTGAGTTTCATTGCATTTATTTGTTGCTGGCAGCCTTAGGAACCCTAAAATTACTTACTTTGGGCATTCTTACCACAGTAAATTATTAATTAGTACTGTTAAGTACTTGCAAGTATCACACATTTTGTGGGGCAAAATCCATCAGGATGACTAGAAATGAGGATCTGGGGAGATCCTTTTAGCATAGCCCTAGAGTTAAGTAGGAAATTATACCCTTGAAAACACCACCTTAGGAGACAGAGGCTTATTTTGCTCGTTTCTTCAACTAATGATTATTGCATCCATGATATGTACCAGGCATTGTTCTAGGTGCTGGGGATACAGTGCTAATGTGGACATTGTTTTCCCTGGAAATGTAATTGGCGGTACTGAGAAGTAAGCAGGGTTAGTTGTGAAAGAAGAGGGTAAGAGTGCTCCAGGGACACCCAGGGGAGGCACCCAGCCCAGCCTTGGATGGGGGGGAGGGTCAGGGAAATGCTTCTCAGAAGAGGTGTCATAAATGGAGAACTGAAGGATGAGGAGGAGTTAGTAAGGCAAAGAAAGAAACTTTTAAGAAATCAGACCATAGTGGGGTCTATGTTATGCAAGACTCTATAGATCACAGGAAAAAATTGACAGTTTTTCTTGAAACCAATGGAGAGACTTAAAGCAGTTTAAGCAAAGGTGAGGTCAGACTTGTCTTTTAGAAGGATCACTGGTTGTAATGTGGAGAATGGATTTAGAAATTCAGATGCAAAATTTAAAAGAACACCATATTTTCACTATGTGTTTATAAAAATAACTTGGGTAGAAATGATCAAAGTGAGTGGAGTTTGCAGTAACTATTGTATCCATATTCCACAGAAAACAACATCTAAAAACATGAACAAAAATAATATACAAACATGAGACCCAAGATTATGATTTCTACTTAGCTTTTGAAGTGTAATGTCTGTGGGTATCTAAACTAGCACTGATACCTCTCAAGACAAGAGACAAGGAAACACTGACCTCCTGTAAAGCTTGGGCATTACTTTAACTGCATTTTTAAGGTTGACCCATCCTCCCAGCTACCGGCAATTTAGTTATGTAAGTCCCTTGTTCTGCTGCAAGGTGGCATTTTTAGTGGTTGATGACTAAGCATATTATTCCACAGCAGTGTTTCAGAGGTTCATGCAGACTCATCCTCTCTTAATAAGATTAAAATCATCATTAACAAAATGGATAAATTTGAAATGAGCTATTATTACAGGGAACATCAGCTATCCGTCAGAATGATACAATTTAGAGAATAGATGTCAGGCCTCTCTCTTTTAATCCTTCCTGGTGAGCTCTTCTGATAGCAAGAGCTTATGAATTTTTGAGTTTCCAGTGCCCTGCCAGCACCTGGCATGTAATAGGAGCTCAATACATGTTTGCTGAACTCAACTCAATTGAACTTAATACTATATTTCATAAATGTGAGCTGTTACTCTCCAGATTTAATTTATAGTCTCTTCCTTTGAAATTTTCTGCCTTTGGAGTTCCTTTGCTATGGAGTTTTGTCCCTCCTGCCTTCCAGATTTACAATTTGACCCTTTAACGAGTTTCTTTGGATTTATCATCTTCTTTTTGTAGTTAAATTCAGCCCACTCAACTAAAGAATGTGGTGGGGATTCGGTCATTTTAGTATATGTGCTCTAAAGTCAAACTCAAACTGGATGAAAGTAAACCTTTTGGGGGAATTTCCATTTTGTCCACCTGTATATTTAGCCCACTTGTATATTTAGTCCAGTAAGGAGCTCCTTTGGTCAGTAACAGGTATCCTTTGAATTTAAAAAAGGAGGGAAGGATGTTAAAGGAGAAAGGAAGGAAAAAGGGGAGGAAAGACTGACACAGTTTCCTTTTAATCTCAATTTTGCTCTTCTGGATTGGGTGGTGGCATATGAGTGACATATATACCAGATACTCTGCCCTGCCCCTTACAGAGAGCACAGGTGAAAGCCAGGTTTATAATCTTGGATCTCTATTTATTAGCTGTGTGATATTAGGCAAGTCACTTAAGTCTCTGGGTTTTAATTTCCTTATTTGTAAAATTGTGTTAATGATTTCAATGGTGGTGTTGTAATGATCAAATTAGGCAGGGATATGAAATCTCTTTGAAAACCTTGATGTGTTATATAAATGGCATATTGTTTTTCACAGTTCCTTAATGTTTTCTTGCACCTTTTTGTTGATGGGCATCTTGACTGAAAATACAAGCGTTTCCTATGAGCAACAAAATTCTACGTCGCCATTGCCACACTCACAGGGAGCGCGTGTCTGTGCCCTGCTTCTCTCAGCCCTCAGCTTCATGATCCAGATCATCTGAGGACAAGTTTATTGATCCTCTTTTTTATCTTATGACAGCTCTCCTTGCATGTCCTAAACATATGAGGTGTACAATCTAAACTGGCCAGTTCATTCCCCCAAATCTCTCATTTGTTTCATTGAACTTATTTACAAACATTTTCAGAACATTGGAAAAACATTCACAGAACATTGAAAAAAAGTTTTGTGTTACTCATTTTTAGGGCAATGGACCGATCAGCAACCAAAACACCAAGATGAAATGAAAGAAAATAAGTTTCTGAAACGTCTAATGCTTTCAACTCAAGAAATTCAGGATCAAAAGAAACAGTTTGAAAACTGTGGTTTGCAGATTATAAAGGTATATGTAATTAAGGGAAAGAGTTGACTTATCTTGCTATTAATCCATTCGGTTCTGTAGCCAAAAGAAAATATTACCTGCTAATGGCTCTAAGCTAGCTGTTCATTTGACTAGGAATCTCAGAAACAAGACTGAGAGGAGGCTAGAGATGGGCGGGTACCAGGGTGTAGTTGGAATCAGAAGGTAGAAATGATGTCAGGATATACAGAGCACAGATCAAGACCCAGGAAAAAGCTGCCTATCTTATACAAGATAAAATAACTGAAATAGCACTTATCGCACTGCATTATTTTAATTATTTACCTATTTTTATCTCTCACTAAACTGAGCTTTAAGAGGGAAAAGATGGGGTCTCCATTGTTGACCATTTCATTACCAATGCCTACACATAGTAATTGCTTAATACATTTTTATTAAATGAATTTCTCAAAGAAGGGACAGAGAATTTTGGAGAGATAGAAGCCAAACCAGGAGAGGGTTTGGGCCAGGAAATACTCTTTTGCAACTTGATATGAAAGGCAAATTGCATGCAAAGTAATATGCACATTAATACCTTTATTTTTGAAGCAGTGCAGCAGATGATTTAAGTAGCAGTTCTCCAGTCTCTTTTTCAGTTTTTTATTCTTTTGGGTTCTAGGTAGAGAAGATAGACAATGTGGCTCTCATGGCTGCCTTCCAAAGAAAGAAGAAAATGATGGAAGGGAGAATGCATGGGAAACCTGTGAGCCACAGGTTGTTTCAGCAAGTCCCACAGCAGTTCTGTGAAGTGGTATGCAGAGTGGGCTTTCAAAGAATGTACTCCATGCCCTGTGGTAGGTGTCAGCCCCTCCTTATTGGAGCTACTCTGTGTGGGAGTTGGTAAGAGACATCAGCAGGTGACTCACCACAGATACCATTTGTTGCTGTGGAGAAGGGATCATTTGCAACTGGGATTTAGTGGCTAAGTCCTTTGGAAAAGGTTATATTTTTAATTTTTCCTTCATATATTTTGTTGCTGATGGGTTTTATGTTGATGAAAGTACAAGCAGTAAAATGTGCAATTCACTGGTTTTCTTTTTTCTGTGTTTATGTGTCCAATCTGCAGAGTACCTTGGAACTTCCTTTTTTTCCCCCCTACTTATCCCAAGAAAAGTATTATCAACAATGTCAAACCTAATCTCTTAATAAAAAGGGCATTTTCCTGAATTTAATAACATTGGTCTTTTCTCTTTCATCCTCTTCATTTCCTGTAGCCTGCTAGTGAATTTCATCTGGCAGGTGAAGCGAATAACATATTAAGATCCTTCTCAGCTTTTGGAGTTCTATATGTAGCTTCCACATCTCTTTTCAGTTGTACAGAAATATAGCATACTTTGTTGCTATCTTGTCCTTTCTAGATCTCTTCAAAGGAGGCCAAGAAGTTCTATAATTATCATGAGGGATACCTAGCAATGCAGCTTCATTTTGCCTGATCCCTGAAATCTGTGGCTCTTGATCTTTGCCTTTCAAAATACAGGGTGGGACAAAAGTAGGTTTACCATTGTGAGTACATAAAACAGTTTATTGTTGTGTTATTCTTTATTAGTTATGGTATTGTTTTCCATACAAGCAACTTGTAAACCCACTTTTGTGTCATCCTGTATGGTGCATGATCCTTGCTGCAGCACCAACTCCAAGTCTTGATTTCTGGAGAGCAAAGGATCTGAAAAATCATTTTCTCTTTACCCCAGAGAGAACATAAGCAATACCTAGGGTACAAATTGAACATGCACAATTCCTGGGGGTAAAAATTGATGAAAAAATGGGATCCCCACCAAAAAGTCTTTTGAGTGTAACCAGGAAAATGATGACCAGTATGGTCCTTTAATTAGCAGTCTTACAATTCATAACTTCTTCTGTTCTTAAATCACTGTAGCTGGCTTCTCTGTACTCCATTCCCCCCGCCCCTCCATACACACATCACCACCTTCTACTCAAATGACTCCAAGATTGTCACTAATCTCCTATTTTCTAAATCCAGCAAGTGCCCTCTTTTCAGTCCTGTGTCAGACAATGCTAATTGCCTATCCAACACTTGTAACCTCCTACCTCTCTTCTGACCTGCAGGTCCATATTTCAAACTGTCTTGGACATTTCTACCTAAATGTCCCATAGCCACCTCAATCTAAACTCTAATTGGCCGTATTTTTTCCTAAGACACAGGCTTTTTATTTTTTTCCCTGATACTCCCTAACCTGGCTGATATCATCTGTCAGGTCTTTTAAGCTGGAAACTTTATTATCCTCCATTCTTTCTGTTCTCTCTGTCTTATATCCAGGCAGCCAAATGGTTCCAGTGATTCCCTTGCAGTAAAATTCTTAGCAGAGCCTTACCTTTCAATTCCTACTGCCTTAGCTCACCTTCCCCTAAGCCGAGATGATCACCTTCTTTGCCTCAAAACCACCTCTATCTAACCTATCCTTTTCTCTTCCACCAGAATTATTATGCTAAAAAATTACATGCCTGTCTAATATCTGCATTTCCATTTGCCTACAAGATAAAAACCCACACTCCTTAGCAGAGCTTATAATGCCCTAGCCCCACATTATTTCACCAGCCTCACTACTCACTCTGTTCCTCAACACTGTAGCCATGAACTTCTTAGAGTTTCCTGAATATGCTGTATGCTCTCATGCCTCTGTGCCTTTGCATGTGAAAGGCTTTCCCTACTCACCATTTTTAACCCTGAAAATTCCTATTCCTTCTTCAAGACATAACTCAAATACCATCTCCTGCTTGACACCTTCCCCAGCTCCTGCAGGCCCAGTGAATTGCTTACTCCTCTGTGTTCCTGCATTTCCCTCCATCCCTTTGTTACAGCCTCTCTAATTCTATCAAGTACAAAAATTTACAATCCCACAAAACTCAGGTGTGAGGTTCCTTTTCCTTATGGTTGTATAACTGAACTTTACCCTAGCTTTCATGCTCCCAAGTCCACAGATGTGAAAAACTCCATCTTGACAGTTCAAGATGAACTCAGTCATTTTCAGAGTTTCCTTAGTCCCTTCAGAGAATAGACTCAGTTTCTGCAAGATTTTGCCTTCACTTCTCCTCTCAGAGAGTGCTCTTGAGGGTACGACAGGTACTGGAGGGAGGGTGGTCTGGTTCATGGCCCTCATCCATCCTCTGCCTCTAAGTGTCCTTTGCTAAAGAAACTGCCCTGGACTTCGGTCGTTAGCATCCTGTTGTTCTTAAACTTCCAGTTTTCTTTGCTCTTAGGCAGTGTCTGCATAGAGCACTCTGTTTTTCCTGTCAAGGGAATTCCTTTCCAGGCTGTGTTTGTGTCCTTCCTACACTGCAGAGAATGGAAAATGTTTGAGTGTACACTTCTTCCAAGCTCAAGTGTGGGGTCTTGTGTGGTAGCCCTCACAAAGTCTTCCCCAGCCTTGCTGCTTTCCACTCACTTGCCAGGTTGGATGATGGGGCTGTACCCAGTGGAGTCAGTTGTCCCTTCTACTCTGGAAGTCCTCCCAGTTTTTCTGAGATTTCTGTTGTTCTTCACCATTGGCTCCCAGGGCCCTCCTGAGGGAGAGGGACAGAGAAGTGAGCCCCTTCTCAGACTCTTCTAGAGTTCTAGTCGTGTACTCTCTGATTCTTCTCTTCCCATCATGTGGAAGGAAGAACTTTCACTTATCTCAAGGTGGAAAACTGCTCTTAGTATGTCTTATATTGTTCTCTTCTGTTATATGTGGTAGAAAATCCATGCTCTGGTTCCTTCAAGCTTTTATCCTCTTGGTTCAAAAAACTCTCTTCTTAACTCAGAAAATCTAACTTTGAAGGCCATACTTTCAAGATCACATTCTCTGATTAAAAATAATTATATATTATATGTGATAGGTCTATATCAGATATGTATATATTCAATTGATTTTGTTCTAAGCCTCATTCTTTCTTCCACTGAGGTAGTAAGTAGCAAGGAACAAAGAGCAAGAAGAAACTTTCAGGAGAGAAATCTTTTATTTTTATCCCAAAATATTTCCTTACCACATAAAATTGTACTATATTTTATCTGTTTATGTGTGGCTTACATTGAATTTCTACTGATTAATGCTGCTCTAGAGCCTGAAACAGTGTTCAGTGAAGCCCCAAGTAAATGCAAAGGAAGAAAGAGGGAGGTAAGGGGGAAAAGGAAGGAGGATCAGAAGGAAGGAAGGAAGGAAGCTATATTTAAATGTAAGCTGTTATTATATTGATCATATCAGTGATAATTTGTCTCAAGGGAACAACTTTGGGTGTCTTTGCTACAGACACAGGGACTTAGGACTAGGGATATTTGGAGGACTAGATGGAGAATATATGTTAGTACCCAAATTGGCAATGTGATACTTCAGATCATACTAATAGTTTAATGTTTTTCTTTTATCAGACCCAAAGTATGGAGCTGGCATATACTTCACCAAGAACCTCAGAAGCCTAGCATGCCAGGTCAAGAAAAGACCTACCACAGATAAGCTGATCTACGTGTTTGAGGCAGAAGTACTCACAGGCTCCTTCTGTCAGGGTCATCAGCTAAATATTGTTCCCCCACCATTGAGTCCTGGAGACATAGACAGACATGACAGCGTGGTTGACAACGTCTCCAGCCCCGAAACTTTTGTTGTTTTTAGTGGTGTGCAGGCCGTGCCCCTGTATTTGTGGACTTGTACCCAGAGTCCTGTAAGGCCACAGGATTATTCATCAAAATTAATGATGCAGTCTCCACAGTCCCACTGGGGGAAACATGTAACGAACAGCTCTGTTGATTAACCTCCACATCATTTAACAATTGACATGGCCTTACTTTGGAGGAACTAACAATAATGTCCATCAATGATGAAAGGGTGGTTTGAATGTGCCAAATGGGTGTCTGTATGGACTGTTTGGGTTATTGAAGGGAGTAGATACATACCAATAGCATTTTAATCTTTATCTCTTAGGGCTGGAGTAGGTAGATACCCACTGAAATACTTTCAGGATCACTTTTGTCCTACAAGCTGTTCTTTTACCTCCTTTACTATAGGTAATAGCAAAAATATTTTACATAAAATGAACAATTTTTTCTAGTATATAATCCAAGCCTTTTATTTTCTAAAATGATCATAGTGTAACATATTAGGACAGCAGGATGGTTTTCCAGAGAATCTTATACAGTGCTGTAGATATAAAAATAAATTGCCTTTGCTTTGAAAAATTATGTGTGAAATGAAATTATTTGAAGTGGAAGGAAATCAAAAGGCTGATAGTCTACTGATAACCTATGTTATCAAGCAATCCACTCAAGTACCCCTAGGCCAAATTATTAATTTACCAAATATTTTTTGACCACCAGATGTGTCTCAATCACTTTCTAGGAAGTGGGGATATGATGCTGGTCAAGATAAATGTCTTCATAATGCTTCAAGCCTGATTAATTAGAAAGGCAGCTATGGACAACTTAATGAGTAGATTGGGTATAACAAATGAGGAATTACAGATTCTTTCGGGAAATGTAGAGGGGAGAGGGGTCAAAAGTTGGAAGGCAGGCCTTCTAAAGAACGTAAAACTCAAGCAGGGACTTGAAGAATTTGTAAGAGTTAGGCAAGTAAGGGATGCAGCAAATAGGGAGCAGAGTCTGAAGAGTATTTATGCAGAGAGGATAGTTCTTACAAAGGTTGAAACCACTGTGACTATGCCCAAATATGAGGTAAGTTTTGCAGCATAAAGGCCAGCTAATCTCACCACGTACCTCTTACCTATTCTGAAATCTATATTTCTTTATACTTCCAAACTTTTCTGACCCTCACATCCTCAACCTCTTGCATGAACACATTTTTTCTCCTCATCTTACTGTAACCAGCATTCTTCCTCTTGAAAGAAGCATGTTTATTGTCTCATATGGTACCGGCCTTGGACATGGGCAAGAGGACCCTACTCTGACCTCCTTCCAGCTGTGCCCCTCTCCACAGAGTGGAGTGAACAGGGTCAATGGGCACCTCACTCCTAAACCACCCAGTAGATAGGTACCCCCAAACTTCCTACCTAAACAGCTCTATGTCTACTTATAGAATCTGATTGGGCCTCTTTTGGGGGTCTCTCCTCCCAAGAGTGGGCTATGCCACACTCTGCATCAAGAATGGCCTCAGGGTTTGCAAGGATGGGGCTTGGACTTGAGGCTGAGGTAATCATCTGCCTGTGGATGAGGCCTGTGGCACAGAGCTGAGAGTGACAGGACAGCTTCAAAAGATCTAGCATATGTTTAATAGAGATTTCAAAAGAGAATGGAAGAAAAACAATATTCACAAGGATAAGAACAAAAGAAAATCCATACCAAGAAACAGTGAAACTGTAGACCACCAAAGAGATGATCTTAACAGCAGCTAGAGAGAACAGCTGGATCATCTACAAAGGAATGACAGTTGGACTGCCAGTCTTGTGGTAGGCAGAATAATCTCCTCCCTTTCTCATGACAAAGATATCTACACTTTAATCCGAATCTGAATGTTACCTTACATTGCAAAAGGAATTTTGCAGATGTTATTAAGACTACCCTTCAGATGGTGGGCCCAATCTAATCACAAAAGTCTTCAAAAGTACAGAACCTTTCCTAGCTATGTCAAAGAGATAGCAGTTGGGGAGAATTTGATGCCCTGTGCCAGTTCTGAGATGCAGGGGGTTATATACAAGGACAAGAAAGAAGCTTCTAGCAGGAAAAGGTAGCCTCAAGCTGATGACAGCAAGGAAACTGATCTCTCAGTCCTTTAACTGCATGGAATTGAATTCTGCCTATGTGTAAGCAAGGAAGTAGATTCAAAAGCGTCCAGAAAGGAAGCCTGCCAACACTTTGATTTTAGTCCATTGAGGCCCATAGCTGACTACTGACCAACAGAACTGGGAGACAATAAATTTGTGCTTTTTTATGTCACTGAAGTTGTGGTGATTTGTTATGGCAGTAATAGAAAACTAACACACTTCTTAACGGCAATAATGGAAAAATGAAGACATTAGTATAGTATTTTCAAAAGGGCTGAGAAATTAACTGTTACCCTAGAATTCTATATTTAGCTATTTTTTTATTTTGCCTTAATTTTTTAATAAAGACACTCCCAGATTATCCAAAACTGAGTTTACCAAAGGTAGACTTTCATTTAAGAAACTTAAAATTTAAAGGATGTACCTGAAGAAGAAGGGGGAAAAACCAAAAATCTAAGCCGCAAGAAGGCATGATGAGGCACCGTACCTCCTCGCACAACCAAGAATAGAACAACAATAATTTACAGATAGAATATCACTCAGAACTGGCAGAGGATTTATCTGAATGGAAGTCGGACAGCCAAGAAGTTGAAGTAGACCCGTACATCCAGACTGGTAGGGGACAACGAGCCAGACGGGCGCGGGGCTAGTGCGGGTCGGCGGCGCGCGGAGGTCGGGGAAAATTTGGCGCAAAATCGGCGCGACAGCCATCCGGGGCGCAAGAACGCAGCGGTGATCCCTGAGTACGCAAGCTGCGGCTGGGGACCCAGTGAGGCAGCAATTGTGGACCAGGGCGGAGCTCACAGCCCAGGATCCCGAAGAGGTGTCTGAGCCCAGGAGAATGGAACTACCGCCATTGTTCCCCCCCGCCCCCACGTAAACGTCACAATCTAGCGACTGGGGTGCCAAGCTCCGGTGAACACCTAAGGCTCCGCCCCCCACCGTAACAAGAGCGACCAGACCGGAAAAAAAAAAAAGAAAAAGGGAGACAGGGAAAGACATAAGACATGTTTCCAGCAGAACAGATCAGTCCCCCAGGACTCATCCATTTGAGCGACCAAGAAATAGCCAATCTATCAGATGCACAGTTCAAAACACTGGTGATCAGAAAACTCACGGAATTGGTTGACTTTGGGCGCAATTTAGATGAAAGGATGCAGGTTACCATAAAAGAGATGCAGGAAGATACGCGGAGGAGAGCCAATAGTGAAAGGAAGGAATCTGAGTCTCAAAACAATACAGTGGACCAGAAGCAAGATAGAATCAACCAAGCAGGAAAGCATGATGAAATAAGAATTCAAAAAATCGAGGAAAAGCTTAAGAGCATCCAGGACACCTTTAAACGTTCCAACATTTGAATTATAGGGGTACCAGAAGGCGAGGAGCAACAAGTGGAAAAGTTATTTGAACAAATAATAAAGGAGAACTTCCCCAATCTGCCAAAGGGAACAGTCTTCCAAGAAATCCAAGAAGCTCAGAGAGCCCCAAAGAAGTTGGACCCAAGAAGAAACACACCAAGGCACATCATAATTACATTAGCCAAGGTAAAAACGAAGGAGAGAATCCTAGAAGCAGCAAGAGATAAGGGGACAGTAACCTACAAAGGAGTTCCCATCAGACTGTCAGCTGATTTCTCCAAAGAGACCTTACAGGCAAGAAGGGGCTGGAAAGAAATATTCCAAGTCATGAAAGACAAGGACCTACATCCCAGATTGCTCTATCCAGAAAAGCTCTCATTTAGAATGGAAGGGAAGATAAAGTGCTTTTCAGATAAGGTCAAGTTAAAGGAGTTCATCATCACCAAGCCCTTATTTTATGAAATGCTAAAGGGACTTATCTAAGAAAAGAAGATAAAGAAAAGACATGTATAGTAAAAGGACAGCAAACTCACAATTATTAACAACCACACCTAAAGCAAAACCAAAAGAAACTAAGTAAACAGCTAGAACAGGAACAGAACCACAGATATGGAGGGCACATGGAGGGCTAGCAGCAGGGGGGGGGGTGGGAGGAGGAGAGGGGGGAAAAGGTATAGAGAATAAGTAGCATAGAATGTAGGTTGAAAATAGATAGGGGGAGGGCAAGAATAGTACGGGAAACGTAGAAGCTAAAGAACTCATAAGTATGACACATAGACATGAACTAAAGGGGGGGAACGTGGGTGGGAGAGGGGGTACAGGGTGGAGGGGAGAGAAGGGGGGAAATGGGACAACTGTAATAGCATGATCAATAAAATATATTTAAAAAAAGGCATGATGAGCAAAGAAATGGTAAGTATGGATACATGTGAACAATCATTGTCTTCATAAACAGAAGTAATAGGAATGTCCAATTTGGGGAATAAAATAAGATTGAAATAAAATATTGTGAAATGAACCATGTAAAAATGGTGGAGCAATAACTACAATTAATGGAGTTTAAAGTCCTAGTGTTGTGCCCTGGCCAGGTAGCTCAGTTGGTTAGAGCATCATCCCAATATGTGAAGATTGTGGGTATGATTTCTTGTCCGAGCACATATAAGAAGCAACCAATGAAATATGTAAGTAGAACACCAAATCTCTCTCTCTCTCTCTCTCTCTCTCTCTCTCTCTCTCTCTCTCTCTCTCCCTCCCCCTCTCCCCCCTCCCCACTTCCTCTCTCTCTAAAATCAATAAATAAAGTAAAAAAATAATAAAGTCCTTGTGGTGTTCAAAAGAAGATTAAAGTTCTTATACAGATGAAAATTTAAGGGAGGCCACTATAAGAGAAATAAAGTACGTAACTTCTAAATAGTAGACCAAAAGAGGGAATTTAAAAAATAAAAAAAAAACAGCTGGAAAAGCAGGGAAGGAGAGAAAAGAATCAAGAAAATAATTGAGACAAACAGCACAAAGTGGTAGAAGTAATTACAAATACCTAAATGACCATAATAATGTAAGTGTAATCTGGGCTAAACTTGCTAGCTTAGTAGTTGGATTTAAAAAAATTCAACAGCATACTGTTTACAGAACATATAAAAAAGCATTAAAAATAAAGATTGAAAACAGAAAGATAGAAACATGTAATTAGCAAAGACCAGAAGAAAGCTGGTGTAGCTTTATTAATAATAACAAAATAGACCTTAAGTTAATGAGTGTTATTAGGAATAAAGATAACTTCTGATAATAACAAAAAAATTGGTTAACCTGTATGCTATTAATAACATAGCCCCAAACTATATAAAGCAAAAACTGACAGAATTATAGGCAAAATGGACAACTCTACTATCACAGAGATTTAACACAGCTCTGAGTACTAGTAGATCAGTAGTAAAAAAAGAAAAAATTAGACTATAGAAGCTTTGAACAATAATTTTTAGCTAATGTACAAAATTAAAACTGTCCATCCAGTAATTAGATTATACACATTCTTCTCAATTATACACTAAACAGTTATGTATACTGACCTTATTCTAAGTTCAACAATTTTAAAGACATTTTTAAT